AATTAATCTCAGAGTGGCAACACTGAAAAACGCAAAACTAAAAAACTGTAATCTTAGAGGAGCAACTTTGGCAGGAACTGATTTGGAAGTGAGTTATCATTAATTCTATATACTGATAAAATTTGGGGGATTGTTGGCTTTTGGCTGATTCTCCACCTCCATACAAGACAGAATGTAGTAGTCTTTTCATTAGTCTTAGATATGGATCATCTAGAAAATCCTATTTCATTCTTGCCTCAGTTTGGAAGATGTGTCTGAAGACTTGGATTTGCAGTGTCTCAAAGCCACAGGAATGGCTTGCATCTTCTCCAAAGTGAAGCCTGGAAATACTGCTAAACTTAACTCTTAGTGTGAGGTCATGCCAACACTGAGGAGAAGTGCAGGTGCATGTTCTGTTTGTATTTTCTCCTGGTATGTCATTTGTAGAGTAATAATGGAATCTTACCCAACTGTTGGCACATTGTACACTCCTCTCACTGTTGCTGTAGAAAAACAAACTAGCTTGTTTCAAGCTATGTACAGTAGCAGTTCTTCCTGAAGTTCTAGAGAAGCATTCAGTGCAGTATATGATGAGATCTCGAGAGGCAGCTTTCTTCTACCATTGCTTAACAAGCAGTGGTAATTCCTGGAAGGTAATTTGATGTAAAGAGTGTAAGTCTAACAACTTAAAAATAAATCCAGTTCCTACTATGAGAAGCAACGACTTTTTTAAAAGAAATAACTCAAACTACACTAGAGTGATACACTAAAGGAAGTTGAAATTAAAGAAGTGGACGTGGCTTCTTTATAAATAAAGTTAAGGTTTTGATCAAAGTTCTGTACATATTCAACTAATACTTAATCTTTCTTTTGTTCTTTAGAATTGTGATCTTTCAGGTTGTGATCTACAAGAAGCTAATTTGAGGGGATCTAATGTAAAAGGAGCTATTTTTGAAGAGATGCTGACACCTTTGCACATGTCTCAGAGCGTCAGATAGGGAAGAGAATATGCTGAAGAGGAAGGAATCAGAACATTTGTGACTTTCTTCACCTCCTCCCCTTGTTAAGTTAGAAGTAATGGTTATTAGATGACTTATATTTGCAGTAGTGCCTAAGTAAACTCTTTGATCACTTTTTGGGGAGGGAGCTTTAACTGAAGAGGTAGAAACAGGTACTGTTTCTGCTTCTGAACAGAGTGAGGAAGGGGGCTGGTTCTAGGACCAGAATGTTTGTGTTTTGTTTTTGTTTTTTTAAAAGATTCATTGTTTAGCATTGCCTCACTTTGGAATGCGTTTTAATTTATAAAGCACAATATATGCAATTCTATTTATTAAATCTGTAGCTGCAATATGAATAGAAAATGTTATTCATGTATAGTAGCAACGAAGTTCAGGTTTACAGTTATTACAGTTAGTGTATTTACAGTTAGTTTCTTCATTCATGCACAGTGTATTAAATGACTGATGTGGTTTAGACAATGTCCACAGGCTGTTTTCAGGTACTCTTTTCTTTTGGGGTGAAAACAGTAGTTAACTGTCATCATAGGTAACGTATTGCCTTGTAGTAGTTAGAATTCAGGTATTGAACAGCTTTATCATCATCTAAAATGTGCTGTGGAAGCCTTCCACTGAAGGGATCTGCGTATGCAGCAGATTGAGTTATAACAAAAATGCCCCCATCAGAAGTTGTATGGCTTACTTAATCCTTTCTGTGTTAGTATAAAATTGCACTATCAATCACAGCTGCTAAGAAACATGCTGTTGCTTTTAATTGTCCTATCTACTCCCAACCTGGAGTACCTGTCGATGTTTCATTCTTTGTGGGAACTTAAATGTGTGTAAGAAAATACAATCCACTCTCACCAAAGTAGAGATAGGCATTGGGGCCACAGCACTTACTCCTTTCTCCCCTGTCGTGACTCCAGTATATGAATAAATGGCACCCCTTTCGCCTCAATGTACTATGCAAATACTATTGTACACTGAATCCTTGAAAGCATGAGCATAATCCTTTCCCCAGCCAGATCTTAATATACCACTTTGGGCCTGCTTAAAGTGGCTGTAAAAGCCTCTTGCATGGGGCAAAGCGCCCTTTCCACAACTGCTTTACCTGTGAGCAAATAGGGAACTATGACTTCTGCAGTGCAGAAAGCCTCTCAGCATTTCTTTAAGTGGTGGTGCACTTCATTTAATAAGCTGTTTCTGCTGTAGTATCAATCTAGTTCTCATCTAACAAAACATTTATTTTCTATACAATCAAAAAGCACATGAAGAAACTATACCAAAAAAAAAAAAGGTGCATCAAGAACTCATACCTCAGATGCTTACTTAAAATACCCCAAAGTTACAGCTAACATTGAATTTAAGGAAATGCAACCGTTACTGGAAGCTAAGAACAAATGTATCCTAAAACTTAAAGAATGGAATACTGTTAGCAGTGGTTTGAGTTGCAGTTACTTCAGTGTGTTGCCTTTTAGGTGCAGATTTGCTGGCCTCTGAACAGAAGTCATACTGTCTCAGTAGTTGCTATGAAAATGCTGCTTTGCCGTCAATCTATAAAGGTTTGTTTATGGAAAGGTTTATGATTTGTTTGGGGAGAAGTGCAGGATTCTCCCTTATTTTCAAGTTGGGTTGACTCAGGCATACTACATGAACTTCCAGGACTCAAAATCCTACAGCCATGTGGTTTGGAATTAGGATTTCTTTTCCTTCTGGATTTCCTGGCTTCTTGAGCTGTCTCTAGGACAACACTATAGCCTTGGTGAAATACAGCTGTAGGGAAATACTTTGATTTTGGAGTCCTGTCTCCCACCTCATCGCTTCCTTTGAGTGATGTGTATGTTGCAGAAGAAGATTCCTAGGGCTAGAGAAATAAATGAATTATTTTTCTTTATCTTATTTTCTAGCTAGCAGAAGTAAAATATTGTATGGAAAAAATATATTTTCATAATCACTGTGTATAAAATATATTTGAACTTTCACTGAAGCACTATGTTTTAAATAATCACAGCATGTGGCATCATTCATTCACAGATGAATTTAAGGTACCTCTTTTGCTACAACAAAGCTGTATGAATAGCCCAAAGTGGCATATTCAGTAATTAAAGGTTCCAGCCTAATTTAAATTGCATTAATAAAAGTGTGAAATATAAGTGTGTCTTGGTCTTTATTTAAAAAAAAACAACCACACACAACATAAACTCAACCTTACATGACTCTAACTTGGAAAGATAAGATATAAAAGATGCCAAACTTTAAATTTGATAGTTCCTTGTATACAAATTTAAAAATAGTGCAGCTGAAGTTGATTTTTGCCTTTCATGAGCCCTTGGGGGGGACTGCTGCAGTTCCCAATGCACTCTAAGAACTTTCCCATGTCTCTTTTCATTTTTTTTAACTTGTCATTCATCTGCTTTGTCCCCACCCATCATATTTGTTTAATAAAATAGCTGGAATCAGAAGTCATTAACCGCAATTTCCATAGGTATGTATGCTACTTAAGGCCCACTTCCCACATCAGAGATTATCATCACACAGTACAAGCAGCTCTGCTGGCGTTACTTTAATAAGGAAGTGCTAAAGCATTTCTGGATGAAAAAACAAAACTGCTTGACTTCAGTCTATAAAGGGCTCACAATTTCAGTCTAATAACCTACACAGTACAACAGTGACAACACAAATACAAGGCATCTGTATGGGTGTTGCAGATCACCCTGAGAGCAAAATTTGGAAAAATGCCATTCTTAATGCAGTTTCTCAGCTACAGCACACTTCTTTGGGTTACAAATGCCAAAACTTGTGAGTGTCTTAGGCCTGTTAGTGTCTAAATAGGTTCAGAAACACCTTTACAGCACTTCTGATAGAAGAGGTCTTAATTCTTGGAATGAGAATTCACAAACCCAGAAAACCCAGATTGTCCAGGCAAGTCCTAGCCTTCCACATAGGCACTTAACTGCAGTGACAGACATTCACACTTCCCTTCACAAATCAGAAAACTCATGCATGTGAAGGTCTGGGAGCCATTCTGAAGGCTGTGTCAACCCTATTTTCCAGTGTCCAAAAACTAAAGAGAGGTCACACGCTAGCCCCAGCTCCACACTTTGATTTCTTTTGCCAGCATGAAGCTGGCACCCGCCTGACAAAGCCAGAGCGAAGCAGTCCCAGCCCTTGGAGCAGTCCCCATTCAGGCTCTGCCTCTGCCAGAATCAGTTTTGTTTGTTGGTTTCCATTACGCAGGGCTGTAAAACTATTTGTGGGCAAACAAAACCAGCTGAACTCTTTTTCCTAACCTCCCACCTCCTTTATATAACGTGTGGCTGCGGTCTGGAGTTGAGCAGAAGACATGAGAACAGCTCACTTGCCAGCGCAGCTCCTGGTGCTCCTTCTGACTTGCTTCAGGAGGGCAGCTCTGCAGCTATAGGAAACCTGCTGTGAAACACAGCTGCTGAAAAATATTAAAAGCAGGCTGTTGTTAGATTTAGCTTTAATTGGTAGGTTAATAAGAGGTACAATTATTGGACTAAGCAGTTATTGGGCTCCCCTCTTTAAATGCCATCCTTCAGGATGTGCAAAATCTTACGTTTAATTTGAAATAACCTTAATTGTTGCTAGGCTGATCAGAAAAGGGAATACTCTTAAAACAGTTAAAGGAAAATCTCCCTTTTCAAGTGCTCTGCCCACGCTAAGGTAACCTTTCCCCCATAGAAACAATTTTCGCAGCTTGATCAGCTCATCAGCTGAAGCCAAACGCTGGCTACTCGTGCTGTGTGTGTGCATTAGAGCAGGAAGAATTACTCTTTGCTGAAGTCACTAAACCCTCCTCACATTATTTACTTACTAAATTACATTTAATCCATTAATCTCAAAGAGGTTGTGGGGGCAGGAAGAGAGGATGTTTGAAGACTGCGAAATGTGATACACTCAATTGCACACAAAACGGTGCACAGCAAGTCCAAAGAGCAGCCAGGTGGATTAAAAAATAAATAAATAAAAATATTTCTGCAGTTAAAATTACCGAGTTTAAGTGCTGACTGCAAATGGCTACCAACCAACTTTATAAAACTGCAGTGCATAAAGTTTCAAGAGCCAAAAACTCCAAAGTATTTCAATGTATACAGTCACACACACAGACATGTGTACACTTATATTACATATATATATAAATATATATTTATACATTATATTTTATATATAGAGAGAAAATAAAGTGCCTGGAGAGTCCTATTCAAGGAAGATCCCATCTTGCAACAGAGAGGGTCCCTTCCCCATATTTCCAATTGAATAACCCTGTCTATTTGATCAGTGTAGTACTGCTTTGCACTTTATAGAGCAAAGAATATGAAGGTATTTTAATTCAAACATTAAGGAGGGGGACTTTCAAAGGAGCACGCAAAATGCTCCATGCGCTTGTGCAATCTTAGGCTCTTGCTTATGCAACACAGGTCCCTTTCCTTCAGGTCTGAGATAGAGACTAAACTGAATTCCTCATCCATTTCAACTCCTGTAAGGCACACACATCAAATTCAGAGATTTTACTTAAAAGAAGTATATATATTTAGGAGCTACTGAAAGGAACGACTGTTTTCCATGGGGCAACCACAGCCAGCTAGATCTGAATGTCAGATTTACAGCCTCTTAAAAGAAAGGCTGTTACCATCGTGGCTCTTAGCGAAAACAGCTGAATTTAATAGCTACACCGGGGCGTCCCAATTATGTGCTTTATTTCTTTACATGACAGAAACATTAAGAACAAAATTGCAGTCCCCAAGATGGAATTAGATGAAGTCACCTGCTGTGAAAGGTTTGGTGTTGGGGTGGTTTTATATAAAAGCAAGGCAACAAGCAAACTCGCAGGACATTTTCCAACGGGGAAGAGGTGGAGTGATTCTGCAACCTCTCTCAGCAAGCAGGTAATGTGCTTGAACAACACACCACGTCCTATTTCATTTATTCAGTCCTTAGAGATGCTTGTATTGGAAGAAATTTGCATTAGAAGATACCGCAAAGAGCAATTTTTAAAGACTGCTAGAACAGAAATTGGCTGAACTGAATACATCTGTCAAATATCAACAGGGAGTTTCAGTGAACCTTGGAGATCCAGGCATTCCTAAAATTCTGAGAGGGCACTCAAAAATCCTAATTTAGATCTCCATCCAAATTCCTCAGATGTCAAATCTCTTTCTAATGAGCTAAGCCACACTTTGAGGGACTCCAAATCCAGCTGTGACTCGTGTGTAGGCACAGTGCCACTGGGGTGCAGAGGATCAGAACCGAAGATTCACTCACAAAATGTAACATTTCCGTGACTCTGTAAGATGAAAATTGAGCTTTAAATGTCTTTATGATCAAAAAGATGTTTTTTTCTCTCACAGAATGCAGAAGTCCAGGAAGGCCTTTGTTGGTATCCTCCTGTTTATTGTGTCTGTGGAAATCTGCTTGGCTCAGCACTGGTCTTATGGCCTGCAACCAGGAGGAAAAAGGAACGTGGACAATCTGGGAGAACTGTTTCAAGAGGTAGGTTCAGGATTGTAAAGCAACTCATTTTTGCTTGGATCCCTCACCTGCACCAGATGCAAGCAAAAAAAGCCATGGGATGGGATCAGAGGAGACTCAGGCATTATTGTCTCTCTTTCCATGTGTATATATTATAGAAACACACATTCGTAAGACTTAAAGTAGTAATTGGAGAGCTGACCGTGACGTGGCATAAGGGTAAGACATTCGACAGCCTTGCATAAAGAACAGTACCGTCTATTGCATACACAAAGCTTGGGCAGTCTTCTCTGAAGCAGAGATTGAAATTTGACTTCCAGGTTAAACCTGATCTCATCCCGTCCCTAGCTTCAGCCAATATTCCGATCAGCTGCTTTATGACAACTTTCATCCACTTCAGTGAGAACGTGGCAACAGGCAGCTGTTGTGGGATTAGATGGCAAGCACTTAAATGAAGGATTCAAACCACAAAGCAGATGTGAAAAGTTCTGTCCACCGATGCTTTTCCCGTGCTTTCTAATATTTCATGTGCAGGCTCTTTTAACTGTAGTTGTAACATTCTGATTTAAAGTTTGCTATAGCACAAGCGAGCACCTAGGGAAGGGGAGAGTTTAAATTGTGCAGTGGAACAGTTTCATCTTTATCTGCAACTAGGGCATGGTTGCCTTAGCAGAGATATCTCCTCATGAAGGCTGTGTCCGTTCCCAATTCAGATTGCAAATGACATGGAAAAGATAGGGGAAGTGCAGAAGACGGAATGCCCGGGCTCATATCAGCATCCCCAGTTTACTGATCTGAAGGAAGCCATGGTAAGTAACATGTTTTTTCTTTTATCACTGTGGAATACAGGGGACTAGTCCAGGCTGGGAAAACACAGGGCAGGGGTGGGGTAGGAGTGATGAAAGAAGAGGCATGTCAGCTTAGTTTGCATATGGTGATACTGGCTGAACCCTTATTATCTGCGTCGTTCTCAAGTACCTTCAGTCTACAGCCCTGGAACTACATGATTCTTGCTGTTCCCATTGTAGCAGTGTCGTTACTCGCTAAATTAAAACAAAAACCAAAGTCAAATACATTCTATCTCCCTTAATACAAATCCACGCAGCATTCACAGATGCTTAACTTCAGGGGTGCACTTTGCAACTGAAGGATGGTGCCATATGGAAGCTGCTGCTCCCAAGGTCCCCAGGCTGGGAAATGTATTTTCCATGAGATGCTCTAATGCAGTGACAGCAGAGACTTCACACTAACTGCCACAGAAAGAACACTCTCAAGCAAAACCATGCTCTTCAAATCATACAGCAACACCTTGGTCAGGCCAGATGGCCACCACTTTCTGGGGAATGTCTCTGAGTTGTCCTAGGAGTGGAAACGCTCAATCTCTACTTCATTTTTGAATCAAAGACCAAAAATTTCAACTGCATACTCTTGCCTTTCACTGAGGAAGCTGGTCTGAATCCTTCAGAAACTCAGTAAGAGCGATGCAGACAGGTCAGTCCAACTTCTGTTCGCTTCTCACGCGGAAATCTCCTAAATTCCAGGGTTTCTTTTAGGTCATCATCAATCCTATTTGTACAGAACATAAAATGGGATCTATGCCTGTGACTCTGGCTTCCAATAGCACTACTTTCAGTACGAAGAGCCAACACTAACTTAGTATGTTTATACTTTTTTTTTTTGGCCTACAAAAGACTATATTAGGCACGGACTGATAGCAGAAAAATTATCAGGATATATGAAATGAGTTCTTTGATGCTTTTTGCTCACTGAGGGAAACTTGGCCTTCCATTGCAGTCAAATTCTGAGGTTTGCTTGGAAACTGCTGGTAATCTTACACAATATGTGCAAAAACTTTTAAGCCTCTGCATCTAGTGGTTACTTTGCATACTTATTCCTGTAACATAGCCTGAATTATGCGGCCTTACTTCTCGCTGCTTAATGACTTTGAAAACAAATTAAAACTTTTCCAGATGCAGGTTTTCCAATGTGACACATTCCTGGAGTTGATACAGGAATATTACGCAATGCGAGGGGAGGTGTCAGGAAATGGCCCACCCCGTGGAAAAAACTTTTCAAGTTACCTTCATCATTTCCTGGAGCAGCTGGAACTGAGCGCAAACAAAGATACACCTAGCTAAGATACAGAAGGGAAAACAATAACACATTCAGCATGTCGATCCAAAACAACTTCAGGCTTTCAACTCAGAGGTAACAACATAAATACTGAAGTAGGAGACCAGATCCAGCAGGGTGTGACACAGCACATGCCATTCTAACAGTACTAAGGTATAGAGAGAAAGGTAACAGGGCAACAACCCCACCCCAGAACACTTTTGCTTTCTTGTGTCTTGGCCAACTGCTTAAGCTCACGGACATTTGACATACTGATGCTTTGTGTAAGTTCATGCTGCTTTTCCTACACTGCTGTCAAAATGTAGTGTTCAACAGCTGTCGGGTTGCACTCCAAGAACTGCTGCAGTGGTGGGCCCATTAACAGATGTAAAGCTGGTCATGGATTTTGGGATGAAAAGGGCTATTATGAGTGTCAGTTACATTATACTGTCTGATCAGATCCCCGGGCAGGTGGTGGAGAGATCATGTCGGGTCAGATTTATGTCATTCTAATCCTCCTTCCAATGCAAACCACACTATGAATATGTTAGCATCTGACTAGGCTTTAAAATTCCATCATCAAAGTTCTTTCTTTTCTTTAAAACTGGTGTATGTGTGTGCTTACAGGCAAGTCTGATTGAAGGAGAAGCCAGACGAAAGAAGATTTAAACCCACAAAGCCAAAGGAACAACGGACCCAGAATAAAATTTCAAAGCAACATTAAAACCAGTTCCTCCTAAAATGGATTAGATTTCATTATGTGAATAAATTCTGTGAAGTTGTATTTAAGTGAAAGATGCTGTTGTATAGATTACCTGCTTAAAAGAGAACACATTCTAGTCCGGTGGTGGGGAATCAGCACCATAGGGTTGGCTTTTTCTGCAATGAAAACTCGGACACGACAACTTTTGTTTCGCACACATGGGCAATGCCTGGGCAAGGGCACTGTCTGATCTCCCCCGTCTCTGGATGCAACAACAATACAACATTAAAAATTAGGAATAAATTTACTGTTGGAAGGCAATTCCTCTCACACGTCAGTAGGCAACACATGAAAGACTTTTATATGCTTTTTTTTTCTTTTTTTACTGGTTCACTCATAAAAACTACATTTATATTAAAAAGGTATTTACAAACTTTACAATAGTTAATACATTTAAAAAAAAAACACATGAATTTATACACCTTGCTTTACAGACTTGGTGAATCACGCGCCATTTACCCAAAGAGATGCAGACTCCATTTCCAAAGCTTGGCTCCTACTCTTTCTCCAGAGCCAGTTTAAAAGCTGTATATTTTGCTGATTCAACTGCAGAGGATTAAAAAAAAAGTATTTGCAGTCTGTAGAGGTGGGTTTTGTAACTGAACCATCACACCCAGCATCTCAAAGCACTCACAAAAACACATTACACAACATCCACATTCTCCTGAATTCCAGACAAACACGTCCCGCAGTTTACCATGTCATTAAACCCTCGTAATACCAACAGTGATTGACTACATCAGTGAACACCAGGCATGCTGGGGCTGAATTTCAGAGCTGCTGAGGACTTGCACCTCTGTGCACACACACAAAAACTGCACTCTTCTTCCGAAATGCAGGTCCAACGTGTGCAGTCAGGCGTGTCCTGTGAGTTCAGTGACAGCCTTAAACCAGCTCAGGCCAAGGCTGCACAAACAGATGTTGTTCACTTTTGTTAAGCTCCTCCATTTCCCAACAGCCGTGACTCCTTTGTGTACACACACACAGTGCCCTGAAGGTGCTTTCCACACCTGATTTTCACACTGTACCCCTCGGGGACTGTGCTGGGCAGGCACAGACATTAACATGACCTGGTTTTATTTGTCTGCTGGGGGCAGAGCACGCACCAGGAACTTAGCTCTGCTCCAACTGGGGTCTTTTTACATCATAATCAGTTAAATAAACACTGTGATATACTCAAAAGATTAGGAAGAACGTTAATAGGAGCAGAATTAAGTGAACCTCATGTGCTTTTGAAAAGCCCACCTCCTACCACACAATAAATGAATCATATTTATTTGTGTATTTTTTCTTTCTAATATAATCTTGGAAAAGCTCACCTTGGTCCACTAGATAACAGTCTGCAACAGTAAATATAAGATAGATTTTTAATTAAGGAATTGAAAAAGGGGTAGCAGTAATGGTCAGGAATGTTTTTACATTAAAAAAAAAAAAAAGATTACAGTTAAGCTACAGACTTAAACTTATTATTTCCATTTACAATTATAAAAATAAATAAGGAGAGAAAATCTGAGCCATTATTCCTACAAGCCTAACTCACTGTTCATCGTGGAACGTATGCTGGGCTGCACAGTGTGAAGGTTCCCAACAACTGCTACATACACATCACAGTATTTCTGCCACTGCAGATCACAGAGCTGTCCTCACTGGAATCGGTGTCCTTTCCTAATCCACTAATCCACTGAAATGGAAAGCTGTCTGTTTCTCTCTTCCCCTGATATGGATTAGAGCCTGTAACATTTTTAAAGGAATTTATCACAGCATGACAAATTTTAATTAAAAGCTCCAGAAAACAAGTGTTGAGCATATTTCTCCAAAGAGAAAAAAAAATCCTCTAAGACTTGAAATTTAACACTAGCTTTGAACAGCATGGCTATGAAATGGGATTAAGATTTTGTCTTCTCTGCAGACTGGATATTTAACTCTGAGATTTGTTTTATTCAGAACTATGAACTTGGTAGAAATGCTGCTGCTTGCTTTCATTTCTGGCATGCAGAGAAGCCACCATTATGGATTGTTCCCCTACTCCCATTTTCAGTACTACAGGTTAAAAGACATTGGATGACATTTACAAGATCATCTAAGAAACATGGAAAGATGAAAATGAAGCAGTGAGACCTTAAATTGTCTCTGAAGATTAGATCTCATAACTTAAGTTAAAAAAAAATTAAAAATCAGAGGTCTAGTGGGGTTTCTCATAAGAGTGTGGGCACTAAATTCTGCTTAATTAAAATCAACCAGGCCCCACGGTTTTTCACACACTTAAAAGCCCAATTGCTTTAAAAATCTGACACTTGAAGATGATACTTTTTTCCAAAACTGGCGTGAAGCCCTAAGTCACTTAGGCACAGTACAGAAATTCCATCTTGTACCTCTAAGGAAACGATGCTGACTTGTATCAGCGAAGAATGCAACTCTTCAAACCTCACAGTCAGTAATGCTTAAGAAAACTGAACTCCTACCTATCAGTTAGGCTGTCCAAAGGCAAGAAGAAGAGGGAAGAGTTTACAGCACTTCAAACAGGCTCTTAGAACAAAAATAATGCTAACAAAGAAAAAAAGAATTGTTCAACTTTAAACCCTTGGCATAGAAAATCTGCCAATGAAAATACCCCAAACATTGTGGGAATGGAGATCTCCTTGCCCTGTTGTCTTTAGGCATCAGCTGTTCCTTTCCTTGCAGTAAGGGTGATGTCTCAGCTACAACCATCTCCAACCAGCCAGGCAACAGAGGCAGCAAGAAGAAAGGCCTCAACTGTGCAGAGAGCAGACCAAAAAAACGTCAAGGAACCTGCCAAGTGAGGCAGCTGACTTGGGCATTTAGGGTTAGTTTGGCTACCAGCACCTAGGACCAGCACACGTGGGACAGGACCATGTTCCCAATGACTGCCAGATGAATGATCCAAGGGGAAAAGGAAGGGAAAGGATAATTAACCATTTACACACCAAGTACTCAATTCATTCCTGTCTGTACTCACAGGAATAGGAAACAAAGGGAAGAAAAAAGACAGGGAGATTACTAGCAACGGACTCAGGCTGCAAGAAGCACAGTCAGAACTGACTCCTCAAAGCTAAAAAGCATTATGTAAAGGGTCATTACAGATCAGCTGAAAAACTGCTCAAGGTCACGCTTCCCCCAGCGAGGTCTTTTTGCACAGACCAGTTCCATCCTCCAGGAAAATACCTGGTGAATGCACAAGGTGCACCTGCAAGTCAGTAAAGCAGATCAGGAAGGCAGGCAAATAAGACTCAGAAGTCACTCAGAACTGAAACACCCAAACCTCCTGTCTATTTTGTTTTCCCATGACAGACAACTCATTAGCTGAGATTCCTGCAGTCTCTTGTTTCTGCTGACTTACCCAAGGAGTTAAAAGCAAACCTCCTCTGAAATGGAAGAGCACCGAGGAATGAGGCAACAGGCAGACGCAGGATGGGGCAAGGCACTGAATTAACAATAGGTGGTGTTAATGTATACATGGATGTAGACTGGACAAGGAGCTGATGGAGAGCTTCAGGTTTCTGCAATTCCCACCACATCCTGCTGCTCTGCCTTAAACAAAGTTCTCACTGAAGACAAAAAAGTTCTTCATGTGGAGTTCCAGAGGATCCTTCAGTTTACGTGTGCAACAGCAGCAGAAGGAGACAGTAGCTACATGAAGAGGAAGAAGTGGACAAAAAAAGCCAAAGACAAGAAAGCCCTGTGGTTTTCAAGTCAAGCAGTGTCTATGTCAGCTCCACATTATGTTCTTGGACAAGTCCTACAATGCACCAGAGAGGCTTTGAGACACATTCAAGTTGTCCAGAAAGGTTTCAAAGATTTCCCAAGAGAAGGTGACAACCCAGAAGACAATCGCATGTGAGCTATAGTGAGCATGATTGTGACTGCAGTGCTGCTTCCAAAATGTCTCCATCCTGCTCTGTGATGTGAATCTGATATGACCCTTTAATGAATGCAATCTGCTTAGAGGGCCAGCAAAATAAAAGCAGACAGAAAAAATAAATAAAAAAAAGTTGATAGGCAGCAAAATAAACGCAACTTCTGCAGGTTTCTTTAACTCGAGTTAACACAGAAGCTAAAGGAACTTCTAAGAGCAAGATTTTGCTTTCCTCTGAAAAAGATTAAAGTCTAATTAAAGCCTTTCCCAAATAAGTTTTCACTAATGTGATGAAACTCATGAAGTCATGTGAGAATAGTGATGTAGTGCCTGCAAAAAAAACCTCAAACCAAACAAGTCTCTATTTACTGTTGTGAGCAACATCCTCAGCAGGATTTTTAACACCTCTCCACAAATTATGCCAGGTAATCAGAAGCTAAATGACAGTACTAGCTGAGAAAAATCATTTCCTGGAAGAAAGAGCACACAGAAGAATCTTCATCAACATGATGATAAAGGAATAGGCCATAAGAGGCAACCAAATATCCAAAATTTTATCTAAGTTCAAACGAACTTGGATGCACATACTTCAGCTGGTCCCTCTTTATGATGAACTCTAAGAAAACTTCTAGCTAATGAAACAGTTTGGATCTAAACTTTGCAGGCAAACTCCCGTGTTTCCTGAGATTCACAGTGAAAGGGAACAATAACAATGAGCGATTTTTTCCCTTCCCTAGAAAACATCAGTGAAAATAACAGCCACTATGGAAGCTACGTTTATAAATAGGCCAGTCACACAGGCAGAACAGCACGGCAAAATATCTCGTCTGTGATAGAAGAGAACAATTCTTACAAACCAAGAAAATAACAAAGCTGACAGACTTTGCAGCTGCCGGTAAATGTGGCACCAGCTGGCAGCAGCAACTTTGGGGGGAAATACATGAAAGTTAGGACATGTAGCTTGAGAAGTAAACAGGGAAGTTCTCCACAGTGCATTGCTTCTGGAACACGGAGTTTAGGAAAGTCCGCTTCCACAAAGCAAAAAAGAGGTGCTGTGACTATTTCTGGAGTGATCTAGATTATTTAATAGTAGAAGAGAGTAGAAATACATTTTGCAAGACAATTTAAAACTGAATTTTCTTCTTGCCTAAGTGTTGTACAAACTCCCCGTAAGCCTGGTGCAGCCAAGCAAGTTCCCCACCCCAGGGGAGCTGCCGATCTAATGCTGCCTGAGCTCAGAGACCAGCAGCCCTACAAGGTGCAAAATACAACTGCCAACACTAATACTATGGAGTATTTTTGTCTTGTTGTGTATGTTTTTTTTGTTTGATTTTTTTTTTTTTAAACAGCCATCTTCTGGTGACAGCTCAGGCACAGAGGAATGATGAATGAGTCTAAGGCCCATCTGGTTCATAAATAACAATGGTATTTGTGTTCTATGTTTGGTCACTACGTAACTGTGAGGATAGGGTATTCTAACTGTGCAACAGCCTTTTTCTGCATGGATTGCATGAATTTAAAAACATTAAAACCTAAAGATCATGTCATTTTTTTTCTCTAGAATAAATAAAACAGACTGATGTTAACATTCAGAGACAGCAGGGAATAAATAACTAAAAGAAAAAAAAACTAAACAGATAAACAAAATACTTATAAATAATATTATTATCCCATCCTCCAAGGAAAGAAAAGCTGCAGAGCTGGAATAATCCAAGCAACAGGAAACTTGGTGGGTAAGTGTCAAATCTTCCACATGCCTCCCAAATCTGAACGGCTCCTTAAAACCCAAGTGGCTTTTAGCAACTTAGATCAAGGGAGGCTACAAAACAAAGTGCAAGTACTGCCACAAACCAGGGGGGAGATGAGAATTATTTACGTGGAATTGGCCAGCCAAAGTAAAGGCTACATTAACTACCAAACTTTGTTTCTGAGGTGCATGTGACCAGTTTTACCCACTCCATCCTCTCCAGGTTGCTGCTCTCAATACAGTACTGATTTGATGAAACTTCTATCCGCTCTAAGACATTCACAGGAGAAAAATAACTTTTTACACCCTATTAAAAAAGCACACAAAGATGAGATATTGTACCAAGTCCCAGACGCAAAACAAAATAGTAACACAACAAAGGAAGGAATATTGACTGCTCTGTAGTGTCAAAACCAGAATCAACAGCAAAACTGTGACAAAGTACTGGTGAACCTAAACTCTCCACTGGGAGCGAGCGACTGCCACTACTTGAGCAGAGGTGGCGTAAGGCAGAATGTCTGCACTTCATCTTAAGTACCTATGACGACGAGCAGAAAAGAGGTTTCTTTTTCTGCTAACAATGCTCAGGTCTCTGCCTGCAATCAAGAATCTTAGGAGACCACATATCATACGCCAGCACCTGACATCTCAGGAGCAGACATTTCACAGCTTAGGCATGGCTGTGATCGTCTCGCTTCATGCAAAGCAGGGCTTGGCAATGCTACAGGGGCAGAAGGAGGGATCTGTGCACTAGTACAGCCACAAAGCTGCACCGAACCCATGTGAAAATACTGTAGAACACATCTCATACTGGTGTGGCTTACCTTGGTTCAAGCACTGGTGCAAATCACTACAGTGACAGATTTACACTAGGAATGAGCTGCTGAAATTGCATCAGTGACTGAGTTCAGGACAGACAAGACTAAGACAAACAGGAGTTCCAGTAGGCTGACTTCTTCCCACATGTGATTAGTGTCTCATGATTGGAAAGGTAAACCAGAGGTTAGGAATAGTTACAACTAAGTTCCTTTTGGTATTTCCCAGGGAGAACTCCAAGGGACGTGACTGGAATGGCAAGTGAGATCACTAGGTCTTTAGGGTCAGAAAGGCCCAGCATGTCAGTGAAAAGAAAGCAGCCATTTCACTCTAGGCACTTGCTGTGAGCCAAGCAAGTAACAATCCTCACTGCAATCCTTGCTCTGAAGAGACAACGCTGGATTTTCTGGTTTTTGGAGGAGGAGGGGGAGGTTTGGCTTCACGTCTGTTGGGTAGTGGTGGAGCAGCCTGAGAAGATAAAACAAAAACATTTTGCTTATCAAGCAGAAGAAATCCAGAAGTTCCTACACTTCTTAATGCTTCTTTTAGGAAAAAATCTTTAAATTCTTCCTCTCAGTGCTCCATGCACTGAATGAGAGGGGCAAACAAGGACACAGGATTTAATAGAAACACATATTTTTCAGTTGGTAGAATCATCTTTAGTTGCAGATATGCTTCAGTTGCTTCTGACCTACAGCCTGACTGAGCCAGGCAGTCACTTGACCAGTAACAGATTCACCAGTAAAATGGAAATAAACCCACTTCTCTCATGGTTTCAAAATTCAACTATTTTTATCTTGCTGGCTCAGTGAGTTGCACCACATAAAATGTTTCCAAATCAGAATGGTGCAACTGATTCCATAAAATGGCAGCAAAGCAGAAATTCTGCTAAAACATGTCACAGCCTTCCCGCCCAACTCATGGGCTTGTACAGTGTTTGTTGTTCTTGCAGAAAACTGCACTGGTAGGTCCTTTCAAGTTGTCCCTTTGCTTGTTTTAAGGGGCATCCTATAAACTAATGAAAAGTGAAAGGCCAGGTGAACAAGAAGCTTATGTGGCTTACCTCATGCTTAGCTGAAACTGCCAAGATTTCCTGACTATTTTAACTAAAGGAGGACAGACTCAACTTTACAACAACAACAAAAGTAGCAAAACCCTTCAGAAAGTACTTTTACAACCTCTCTTTATGGGCCTTTGAATCCGTTCCATTTGGCTATAAGCCAGGGTCAATGTTACAAGCCAGAGCATGTTAGTAATTAGTTTTCTTACAAGACCCAAGGGATGGAGGCTTTTTTATTAATCCTCTTGAACCAGCGACTCCCACAGCATCTCTAAGGCTGGCATGTTTCTTCCACCCACACCACCTACATCAGCCATACTGCCCTTGCTCAGAAGAACAGTTAATTCAGACCAAGTGAAGGCCTGAGTAGAAAACTTCCAATTTGTCCCATGTTTCAGGACTTCATGCCATTGTCATTTCGCTTTTACTGAAGTAAATAATCAACTGCTGTATTGTCTTTCTGTGCTGTCAGAGTTAACATCTTTTGTGAAGTGTGATCATTCAGTATTTTTCATTAAATTCCAGCTCTTTTACTAAGGTACTCTATAAATCCCCTCTGTAAATTGTACTGGTGAAGACATTCTCATCACAGTTCCAAAAGGATGCTTTCTGACACTGTACAATGGTAAGCAACAGCAGTGTCACATTAGAATCACCTACATTTTAGGGGCAGATGATTCTGACATAACCACCATGGTATCTGCATGTTAAGTAAGTATCCACAAATCATTTGAGATACTGTAGGGGAAGAGCAGCATTAGCGATACAGCATAAGAAGTGTCAATATGATGTTCCTAGAAGGCAATCAACTTCATGAAATTAAGAAAAAAAGACTACGGCCAAGATAGTGATGTAATACAGGCTAACTTTTAAGTGAGTAATGATACTTTGAAAAATTAGTTTCTTCTGAGCTAAGGATTCAAAATGAGACAAACATTTCTGAAAACATGTGAACTTCTTTTTCGGGATCAGGTTACTGTACTATTTTACATGTTGACCGTGTTTTTGAACCTTTTCAATCACTGTGCATGTTTGTTTTCAATATACTTCCCTGTGCCGCCCCCCAGTTTGCCTAACCAAAGACAACACAACCTCCACTTGAAACAGGGACTGCACTTGATAGCCCTCTCTCAAAACAAGAATCTTCTTATTCTTTTGTGGTTTCAGGGAGGGAACCAGTAAAATGATTAGACAAGTTTCAAGCAGCACCACCCTAGAAGCAGCTCGGAAAATTCCAGTGGTGTCCTGCTCGAACGCTGGCTTCCAGAAAAATGTCAGCTCTCATTTCCTTACCTCCACAGAATTCCTTGGGTTGCTATTCTCGTAGGGTTTGTTTTTAGGCGGAGGTGGAGGCGGGGTACTCTGCAAGCTAGCAGTTGACAAACCATCAGCTTGCAATGAGGGAAAACCTAGAAGCAAAACCAGTAAGAAAAGACATTAAAGCAGGCGGAAAAGGAGTGAGAAAAGGAATTGACTATGTATGACTTTAAGGGAGAATCATTTATTATCTTGCACTTTAGATCTGTTTTAGTAGCTAAACCTGAACAGCTATGTCAAACCAGAGTCACAGTTTTATCTCCCTTAAGCTCAAGATGCCCAGAAGAGTTCTACCTTCAACAAATGAGTCTAAGCTTATGTGAAAAATGCATGCCTGAGAGAATAGAGAATTGAATCCATTATCACATCTGCAATGTTCACTGGGATTTCCTTTCAGCCAGGGCCTCAACCTGAGAATTCACTTTGATTTTAACTCTAGTTGGTGGAGCAGACAAGTACCCAAACTTCAGAATAATTCCTGGGAAGCTGTCCTGCTACTAATGATAATTAAAACTGCTTGCTAAGTAAAAGAGTGAGGCTTCACATTCAGTAAGGCTGAGAAACATAACAGCACAACTAGAAAGGAAGCCATCAATGGTGAGAATACAGGTGCATTTTCACCTTGGTCACATGTTGTTTCAGAATTAATTACAGACACTACTGGATATGCCTGGGAGGTAACTGCAAATTACTCACTTCACTAATTCTTCAAGATAAATTCCTCGTCCTTCAGGTGTAACACTTACTAGCTGAATTTCCAAACTGCAGAGCAGTAGCTCCTTCTAAAATTATTAACAAAATTATTATTTTCTGGGCAAGACTTGCCCAGAAAATTTAGCCAGAGGCCTCTTCAGAAACCAGACCTAACTACCATGCAGGCCTGATGCAGCTTCCACTAGTGAATTCGCTAGAGGTATGCCTAGTATGTGCTAAAGCAAACAAATAAAATAAAAAAAGAAAAACACAACCAAGCACCTACACTAGATGCACATTGTGTTCACCTTGAGATTTAATATTCCTCTCCACAAGTCAATACAGGAGAAAACAAAGAAAGAAATTGAAAAACACAGATCACATTCGCTGAAATTCATTTGATTTATCAAGTGATATCTAAGTCACGTGTATAATCACAGTGCCTTTGATAACACTGCCAAATGCTGTTATCAGACAAAAATTCCTACAAACATTAATAGCCCAGAGTCACTTTCCGTATACTTCAGAGCACCACCCTTCTCCCTGCCTCCCCAGTGAGGTTACCTCAGCAGATTTATCGTAACTCCTACTACTCAGTTGCTGCCATTACAGAACTTACTGTGGGTTCTTGGCGTTTTGGGAGTGATGGGTGGTGGGCTGAGAGGCGACGACTGCTGGAGTGAAGAACTCTGAAGCAAAGTCAGTTTGTTGTCTCCTAACTGAAGACTCTTTGGCCTTTGTGCTTTTCCAGACAAGCTCTGGTTAAAACAAAGAGTAAACAAAACCTTTAGAAGTCAGCAAAGTTTTCGCATGCATATCCCATAATGAGACTTGTCACAAAGGCATCCTACATGGCTCTTTAGAGCTTGTTAAGAGAGGAAGGTGCATTCAGGTGAAACACAAGGGTGAAACCACAGCACTGAGTAAGCTATAGCAAAAGGCACACACTGTGCTCCTGTGACACCTTCAGTTGTCCCTGGGACCTCACTAACGAGGCAGTAACAATAACAGACTGAGGTCATTAAAAAACAGTTTAACTAAGAAGGGAAGAGGTCAGGGAAAGGGGTGAGGCTGAAAAATTGCTGCATTTGACTAGCAGTTCTGTGAACAAACTTGAGAAAAAAGCCTTTCCAAAGAGACAGAATATCAACTTTTAGGTACAAGTCAGAACTGCCAGTGTCATCCAGCTCCTTAGGGCCGTGAGACAAGTCCATTTCAGGCTCACTGAAAACACCCCTTGCATCTGGGACTCAGGAGATGTTGCTTCCAGTGTCACTTGTATCCTGTGTATTCTGCATTCAAACCATTTGGCTTCCCTACTTTGAAGACTCACCAACATACATGGGCTTGGAAACCTACAGCCCCTTTTGAAGAACAGCTAGCACCCAACATCTTTGAGGAGCTCTGAAAATCCCAATCCCATAGCCTCAGGCAATCATCTGTCAAACAGCTCTCATTTATTTCCTGAGACACCATGGGGGTAAACTGAAAGGCTTTGTCGTCACCAGGAGGTCCTTGGGTGGTTAATCAAACATCACATTCAGCCTGGTGGTAACCGTCTGATTTGGGGACTGCAGTATTCAGTGTGCCTCCCTCCAGCAAACCTTCCTCCTGCCAGTGCTATTAAAGATATCAGCAGTACAAGAGTCATCAAAAGCTTCACTCAGACATCAAAATTCCACCTCAATCCTAGTGCCTGGGGTTTCCCACTAGCACCACGTGCCTGAAGATACAAAGGCAGCCAAAAGGACATTACAGCCAAGCAGACAAAGGTGGAATTTAGTCCTTCTAAATATGGACCCAAGAGCCCAGGGCATATTAAGGTCCCTTTAATATGCTTTACAGAGAAGGCTGTCATGCTTACAGATGTAATTAAACTCACCAAGCTCTTTTAGAGATCAATTCTCCACCACTGGGCAATTTAGTATTTCTCCCTGCACAGAAGGGACCACACAGTGGTGTGCAGTGAATATAAACCAAATAAAGCCCAAAGCTGCTGGACGTACAGCGAGCCTTTGGTTCCCTCTGGCTTTCTAGCTCCCAAGCAGCTTATTCAAGAGCTGCATAAAATCACTCTGCTTCATTCTCGTGCTGCACTGTGCAGTTACGGAACAGAGCAGCTATAAAAAAAACAGCTTTCTGTGTACTTTGCAATGTTCTTAAGCAGAAGTATAACCCTAAACTGCTCGTATACTTCAGTAAGCTGATCACACAAGCAACGTGCCCTCAGAGATCTGGGGGAGAAGGGAGGGTGGGGGTTCTGTTTTGCATCTCTCGACTCTCTGCAAAGCAAAGCCTTGGACAGATGTGCCGTGCTGTCACAGGGAACTGGTCGATAAAAGCGGGCCTTCTCCCAGCTCTTTTCCCTCTAGCTTTCCTTAATGAAGTGATCAGCAGCTGACATCACAGTTTGTGGGTTAAATCCATTTAATTCAACTGAATTCAAATTCAACGCATTTCCAAAGGCAGAGGGCCAGGCCTCCTGAATCACTAATATTTACAACCCCAGATTTTCCTCCTGGGTGGAAAGGCTGTCAGTACCAAATGTCAGGATTCTAGAGCCACAGCTCCCCTTTTATAGAAATATTCTGTGGACTCCAAGTGCTGGCAGCATCACTCAGATTTGATGAGAATTCCTGAATCTATAGCAACATAACCTATTCCTGCCAGATTCAACCGAGATCTGGGGAGGGAAAGGAAAATAAAAGAGCTGATCTTTTTTCATTATTTACACAACGTGTTAGGTCAAATTAGTACCACTAAGCCACCAGCTTAAATACTAAGGTACCTAATTATCGCATATTCTCTGACAGCATAACACAGCATAAATCTCAATATCCCCAACACTGCAAGCTCACACAACTCTACTTTTGGGCTCAAGCTTTTCTGTTTGTATTAGGCAATTATTCTGAATCGCATTGTTAACTTGAATGCCCAACAGTCTCCAATATATTCCTTTTTACAACACTCCCGTGGGGGTATATATTCTCTTTTTTTCCTCTTTTGCAAATAATGCTCAAGGAATAAACACTCCTGCCCGTATGCAGGCGGTTTGGAGCAGAGTGCAGATTTGGAAAATGAGTTTTTCAAAGTCCCAAGCTGGTGACCTAACTACCAGACCATTTTTTTTCAACTCCCCAATCTATCAAACTGATCTTCACCTTGCAGCATATTTGATTTGTGCAGTGATGCTGACTGATAGCAGCTGAACATCTGGCTTGCCAGCTGGATTTTTGTGTGGGCTAGCAATATCTACTTGCTCCAACACAAACAGAACAATTCTACACAGTGCTAAGTGCATCACAGAGTCATCCACTCCTAGAAGAAATGAGGGCACTGAGCACCTAGATGAAACATTAGTGCCTCATGCTTCCAGTCTGTACTTTAAGTCAAGCTGCAGTTTGATCTGTGACACAAGTTTTCCAAATAAAAAAGCAAGAATTACTCAGATGACCAAGGCTTTTGGTATTTGAACCCCTCCCTCCCACAATTTAATGAAGTTCCCAATGACAAGCATGGCTGAAAGCAACGGAAACACTAAAATCTCCTGCTGGGATTTTATTATTGCATGTATGTGTGTTACCATTTTTAAAGTCAGTTCCATTTCTGGCTCCTTCTCCACAATAACCTGAGACTTGCTAATACTCCACTCCTTCCGCTTGAGTTTGCAAATCCTGTTATCGCCATCTTCTTTGATGGGCAGATCCTCAGCTCTCGAGGCTGTTGATATTCTTCTCTCCAAGAGAGGCTCCAGAATAGATCTGCAACCCACACCAGAAGAGAGAAAAACCACAAAATCTTAGTCCATCAGACATTTCATGTGCTGTCAAAAAGCTGATCTCTTACTTTGCAGAAGTTGTCATGAAAACTGAATTAGGACCAGCAAACTTTCAATGAGATTTGTGCTCCTAAGTTACTTCACCAATTTTGAGTATTACATCTTTTATACAAGGTGAAGCGTGAACTACTTGCAGAGGAAGCCTGAATTAATCTGCATTTTATGCCAAACCCTGCCACTGAGTCTGCTGTGTGCCTCTGAGCACATCACCTTGACTCCCCTGCTTACCACAGATGCAAAGCAGATGTAAAGAGAAGTAACATAATGAAGTGGTTCCATGTATTGCAGCTCCTTTTAATGACACACATGCAGCTGCAAACAGGTGAAATGATTACCACGTGACTGTAACACCTCTGCAGACCACATCAAACTAAGTTACACTGTAGTATCTTACAATTCTGTCTTCTATGATTCCTGGGAAACAGAAATAGTGTATATCTGAAATATGCTGTGCCTCTACTCCTCTTCAGTGTCATATATAGAACTGGGACTCACGAGGCAGACATTCATAGATTCAGTTCCCAAAACTATCCCTACCTGTGCTTCAAATTCTGCTCCACTCTGTATATTTGAAGTAATATTAATCACCACTTAAAGTGTAGGTGTTATAGCTGTTCATAAAATGAATCTTTGTGAGTAACTAATTAGATTAGAAAAGTCTTTTTTTTTTTTTTTTTTTGGAAAATAACATAAACCCATTCTAGCAAAGGCATATCCCCAACTCTTTTAAGTCATGTGCAAAAGGTGGTTACTAACCCGTCTGAACCTGGCCTGGAGGAAGTGCTGTCAGATGATGTGGAGGATGTAGACACCACAGAAGATGCCACGGATGTGACAGAAAGGCGTCTCAGCGTGGAAGACATGATATAGGGCAACACGACAGAGCCCGACCTGCTTGGTTTCCTTTCGGTGAGGGAGGGAGGCTGCAAACAAACACACTTGTCACAAACCACTTAACACAAACTCATTCACAAGCTGGAAGAGGAGATTTGTGTTACTTCAAGGCCAAACACCAGACAACAAGATAAGCTTACCAAAGTTATCACACCATACTGCTTCTCCACCTTCTTCTTCAGCTCTTTGAAACAGGCCGTCAGTCTGTCGTGTAGAGGCTTCAGCTGTTCTGTCAGCTTCTCGCCATGGATTCTGATCCCCTCTGCCAACAACGGCATCTGAAAGGAGGAACAAAATAAAGTTATGAAGACAAACCAGATCATCTGCTCCAGGGAGGAATTTTCTCTGCATGTTATACATCTCAGATACAATCTAAGGACTGGCATCAGTGTGTTTTAAGTTTGCAGAGGAAAAAAAGTAATCATAACATACTCAGCTACTGAGTCATAACTTATGACACTGTAGTAACTTGACTGTCTATTTGAGCTGCGTGTGTGTATTACAAATAAATATGATCCACATCCATACCTATGGTTCCTGCTTCCATACTCAGATTCCACATTCTGCTTTGAAAAACATGGGATGTTAAACATTAAATATCACAACTTAGCCTCCAGAGCTGTTGAAGTTGCTGTGAAGTGGCTTTAATCAGGTTCTGTTGTATAGAAATATGTGAAAACTGGTCTGCAGGGATGCAATCCGCAAATGTGAAATTTGCTCTTTTACGAAAACACAGCCATTTTTCATTGCTATGCAGATCAAAATAGACAACTTTAATGATCAGACTGACAAAACATTGGATCTGATGCTTTCATGAAAAGTTCACAGATATTTTGTTAAACTCCTGAGAGGAAAAAAATATATGCTGTTTTGGCAAATATTCCACAATAACATTTCAGAGCAACACCAGGACGTGGTATTGTATTTGCAACATTCTAAACCACAAATTTAGAATATGGTATTTTTCCTCAAAATAAAATTCTACACATATTCAGATTGTTCTTCTAGTATTAATCTGCATTTTATCCCTCCAAAATAATGATGCTGGAAAAAAACCTTCAGTCACACATAGTACATCCCCATCTTCCCCAGTGTGATACCTGTAGAGCAATCAATTGCTTAAGCAGCTCAATTTTATCTTGATCTTCAGGATGCTCTTGAAGATACTTCTCTGTGAAGAAGGCCTAAAAGCGAAGAGAGAAGATTATATAACCACTATGCTGCTTTCACAGCTAGCTCTAAGGTGAAGATCCCTGTACTTTAAAAGCAATTGACTGCCGTTACTTCTCATAGCAAAACTGTCTTTAATATCTCCCTGACACAAAGCCGAAGGACAAAGAATTTTGATTATTCATCCAGAAAAAGGAAAAAGATGTCTTTTTTCTATTTTTTAAAACTATATTTTCAATGAAAACCTGGTACGTTAATAAACAGTTACTTCATCAGAAGGATTTTCTTCAATTCCAACTCCCTTCTCAAAGTACTGACTTGAATAATCAGAGCTATAATATTTGTTACCCAAACATGAGCAGAAAAATGAGTCTTGGAGCTCTCGCTTCAGGAGATTTCTCTCATTTTAGCATTCAATGACCTGCAGTACGTAATGACATGCAAATACTCTCAGCCTCTGGAAGGCGAACAGACCTTCTCTTGCCTGCAGTCTCCTTGAGATCTACCATTAAGTTCTTAAGTACAGCATTTTTACATGGGGCTTGATGTGAAGATTCAATAGAAATAAGACCTGTGTCAAGATTTAGACTTGTAGTTTGGTTCAACAAAGCGCCTTTAGTCTACACTTCTTATGTGTTTACCTTTAAATCAACAGAATCTGGTAGTGGTTTAAGAGTTGAACAAACACATGTACGCCTTCCTGGACTGAAGTCTTAAAATTGTGCCAATTCACATTATGTTCTGCAGAACATTGCATTGAAATGTATCACAATTCCCAGTCAGAAGAATTTAATTTTTCTTTTCCTAGATAAAATCCCTAATAATTTTTCATTTTGTTTTAAAACGTGGTCTCTGATCTATTTCAGCCTCTGCATATATTCTAGCCCTGCATTCCATTAACTGGACTGTACGTACAAGTGTTTATAGACCTAGTGGTATGATTCTGAAAAAGGCTGATGTCAAGAGGAGGTTAGCCTGTGAAAGGACTGCCGAGTATGTCCCAATGGATTTTTCTTTAAAGTGTTTAATTATTGCAAGAAAAAAGCCCATGTTAAAAATGCAGACTTTGGCTTTTGGCTACAATGAAACAATTAAAAAACTCAAGATTTTAGCCGCCCACAAAAGCCAAATGTTCTGTACTGATCTTTAGTTGAAATAGGAAAATATGAACCAGAAATGAGTATTTCCAGATGTGGTTGCAGATACATTGTGTTTCCTAGTTTTAACTGCTTTCCCACTTTCGTAATTCTAAACTTTATGTCAACCTTAATTCATGAAATGGGAGGATTTGGGGCCAAATTCACCCCTGGCAAAGTATGCAGCTCCTCTGGAATCAGAAGAGTTATACCCCAGATATATCAGACCCTCTCCTATTTAACTTTTTCACTTCACTTCATGTGACTGCAACACATCTGAGAAGAATTAAAGATGTTTTAACACCATCCATTCAGTTTATGGAAATCAGCAATATATTTTGTGCTGGGGAAACAATAATTAAGATACTGGGAATAAACAGCCTAAGTTAAACACCACAAAGAAAGAACACACACTGTGTCAACTGAATACACCTGGATAGGAAACACTGAAACATTCTTTTTTTCCCCCCGCCCCTGAAATACATGCTCTTTTCTGCAACATTGCAAAGATAGATTTGCTGGAAAGAAAAATCTTCATTTGCCTTACCATTCTATTTTAAAGCAACGGAGAAATGTTAGCTATTTTGCTTCTATTTCTGATACTTGCACTGTTCACTGGGCTAACTAAGCACCTCACAATGCCCCCATGAGGTAGGGCCATGCTATTATCACCACTGTAAATGAGGCCCAAAAGAGGTGCATGGATCACTCTTTAACTCCAGTAGGGCACAGCACTAAAACTTAACACTTAAACACTAAGAATGTGGAATTTTTCCACCTTTCAGCCTACTGGAAATATCTCACTTTCTTTTCTCTTCTTCTTTAAGCTCTGAATGAAAGCTATATACTGCGATACACCTGACTAACGGCTGAGAACTGAACTTCCATCTCCAGTGTTTCAATCCAGACCTGCAACACTGTGGAGGTCAAACAGCTACAGTGAAATGGCAAGCCCACCTTTTCGTAGTTGGTATATCCCCCCATGACTGCTGGGTCCACGATCCCGTTCAGGAGCATAGAGAGAGGATGTACTGGAAGACTCCGATCCCAGACGTGCTGCTGGACAATGTTGCTGATTTTCTCGTTGGTTAGCTCCATCGTTTCTATGGCGTTCTCCAAGGGGCTGATCTCCTCCTGAGATAAAGAAAAGAGGAAACCTTCATTCTCCTCCACTGAATATGAAGCAACTCCCTATATACGAATGGCAGCTTGACGATTGACAGCAGAGGATTTCAGACCACCTATGCTAATTATTTTGCCACAGAGAGGAATACAAGAATGACATCACACCTAATCCTGAAGGTAATAACAGTTTAACAATTAGCCACTGAGCAGAGTGTTAAGTAGCCACCTTCCCAAGCTTTACACAGCCAACACAGAACTTGGCTGCCTGTGGTACAGCTGCCTGAAGAACAACAAAAGACAAGCACATCAAAGCAGACACACATTTGCTTTTATCTGAAGCAGAACTTATTGGTGTGCCGCATCCTACGGTGGAACAGCTAGTCCTAAACTTTACAAAACTCTTTATTCGACAAAAGATCAGAGAGGATGAAATGCAATTCACATGCAAAACTCACCGTTGTAATCTGCTTGACTTCAAACCACTTGAGGATGCCTGGAAATGAGTATGCTGTTGTGTAGGTTGTCCTTTCTATCCACATAGTCTAGTTAGAGAAGGAAAAAAAAATAAGTAAAATATTGGTATTGCAATATAATTCTTTTCTGCACTAGTATATGGAACCAGGTTTCCAGCACTAGCTGGCAGGATTTGCACAAAGACTTTCACTTTCATTAACTGGGATGGAACCCAGTGTTTTTGGCAACAAATACCACTTCTGCAACTTAAGTGGTATCAATATAAGCAGCAGAAGGCTGTGGTCCTTCATGTAAACCACTTCAGGAGTGTGATTATGGCGTATTTAGCCAGAGTTATATGCAGTATGTCCAACCACTGCATGTGAGCAACAGTATGCCTCACAGGCAGCAAGGAAACATGCTATTACACTACACCCAAAGCTCACTCTCCACTGCAAATCTTAAAATTTGGCCTAAAGTTGAGCTGATCTTTCATAGTCAGATGTTAAGCTTCCTTAAGGATGGCTACATCACCCACAATTTAGCAGGCAGCAGATTACACTCTCTAGGATGTTGCAGCTAGACAGCACAGTATTTACGTATGCCTGCATCAAGGACTTCGAGCATTACAACTTCAGCTAAGGAGCCCCTCAGTACATCGCTTGATATTGCAATCTTTATGCAAAGATAAAGTGTAGCCCTCTGCTCCTCCTACATTTTAATAACAAAACTCCACTGCCACAGGCGGAAGAAAAATTGTGACAGTGCTGTTCAAAATGCCACTGGCAAAATAAAAAAGCATAGAACAGTTTTTGCACTGAACAGACAACCAAGGCAGCTGACATTAAAAGCAGAAGACTCACAGCAAATTCATTCTCTGGATCTTTTTCTCCTTTCCTGAATGGTCGGGAGTGTGTGAACTGCTGTACCTCGTTTGCCCTGTAGTAGCTAGAAAGAAGCAGATAAAATGGTGAGTATAATAATATTGACTTATCTTCATTACATCAATGTTCTTTTATTTCCTCTCAAAATGTCCAGCTTTAAACTGGACTGGGAAGCAAATTTACATGGGACATATAGGCACTCCGAATATAACTAGATTAGTTAAGAAAAATATAGAGGAAATGTTGAGAGAACAGGGAAAACAAATTACTTTAAGATCTGTTCAGGAACAGGTTTGTCTTTATAATTAGGTGGCAGGTTCATCACAGGCTTCACTATAAAGCACTGCACATCTGAGGCAGCTATAGTTAAGGATGAAAAACCATGAATTCTTCTGGGAAAACCGAAGAGGGAAAGAAATTCCCTTCCTGTTTTCATCAAATGTCAGACTTCTCAACAATTCCCTGTGCTCTTGTCATGTTTGAAGAGAAATACTTAGTTGTTCATCAACAATCACAGACATTATATTGCTTGATGTGGCTGGCATGCTACTGGTGAACTAAAAGCCCAAAAAGATAAGCCCTGTACAAATCCTTCCAACTACTCAAATTCCCTGGTGAAATGCATGGGAGCCTGGGTGCTAAAGATTTTTACCTCAGGGACACGAAAACAAAACTCTGTACTAGGTTCTTAACGCGTGCATCCTTCTCCTCTCTTCTCTCCCCACCTCTCTGCCTGGTTATTTGCCAGATTCTCCCAGTGCAGTGAAATTGCCCCCCGAATCTTTAGATCAATAAAACTAGCTAAAGAATGTAGGCTATTTTTATCAGCGAGCATCTACACCGTCTTCATCTTTTGCACCTGTGAACCTTAACAGAAATTCAAGAAAAACCAGTCACTGTATGATGTTGTGCTTGGAGATACTACGTTGTTCCTTTTCATTCTCTTTTAAGGACTGCATAAAACGCCTTATTTAAGTAAAATTCTGTATGGAAAAGCAAAGCATAAATAGTTTGACTCACATGAATAGATTATTTCCATGAACCACCTGCCAATTTTACCCTGAAGTGGTGAAGTTTTACTGGTGGGTACCCCATACATCCTTGATTTCACTATGGCTATTTCTTTCAAAACCCTATGTAGCTAAAGGCAAGGTCATTCTGCCCGCATTGAAGAGCCAGCTGGATACCTGCCAAGTCTGAACCCAAAACCTCATTGCTAGAGCAGATCAAGCACCGAGCCCAAGCTAATACACTCCTTCTCTCAGGAGATCTTATTAGCTTGGGCTTTGTGCCATGCTAAGCATTCTATATAGCTTCCAGCTCAGAACTGGTGCAAGACTGGCCAGTTTATAATGCAGGCATTCCCCGAAATGGTGAACTGATTAATTAGTATCTGCAGTACACTATTATGAAACAACCAAAGGAAGCACAAGACATTATATCATGCAAGAGCAAGGGAACTGGTTCCAAGCAAAAGTCAAAAGAACCCAACACAAAGGAGGTTTTCAGGAAGAAAAAAAAGCATGAAATTAAAACAAACTACAGAACCACCAACCCCTGCCTAATACAACAGTGATTTGGGCACTCAAACTTCTCATCTTTTCAGAAGGTGTTTGTACGAGTCCGAGAAGGACCTGTACCAAATCCAAGCTATGCAGCTGCTCCCCTTTATAATGGGGCTATGCCAAAGACCCGGAACCAAACACCCCCAAAGTTTTGGAAGAGTTCAGATCTGGATCCAAATTTTGCAGTTCAGGTTCATCTTGAGCCAAAAACATTAAAACAAACACAAACAGATGCAAAGGAAGTAGCTGAAACAAAGCAGCAACAGAGGAGGCATTTTTTGATACCAAGTTTGGTCTTGAATGAATTTTAATTTCCTATGTGGATTTAGTGCTTGGCAGGCTCAGTGCAAGGGAAGCATCTGGTATCACTGCTTGAGTTGCGCCTTTGTACATGGACTTTTAAAGCCAAAATAGACCACCAGATTCTCTATCCTGGCCTGTATAACACAGGCCAGAAACCTAGTAAACTTGGTGTTAACTAACGTACATCTTCCAGGAGCATGTCTGATATTGATGGCAGTCACAAATAAGTATCTGAGGCATCTTCACTTGATTGCACTTGGTCGTGCTCACGATTAAGAAAAAGATCTTAAGCCTAGCGAGGTGCTGTCACACAGTACGGAGTTTTACCAGGACAAAGAAGAGAAAAAAAAAAGAAAGCTGTTCACCCAACAGCTTTTGTCAACATAAATAATCATTTTACACTTCTTACAATGTGATTTCTAGGGAAAATAAAAAGCAGGCATTTCATAAATGCTAGTTATCTGCAAGCACGAAGACAGCATACTTCCTCCCACCTTCACTGCCCGTGTTTTACCTTGTTCACCTGGAAATACCAGACTGGATCACATGCACAGCACAGCAGTTAGCACCACCTGCTTGAGAGCAAGGTACAAAAAAAATCCTGACCTGCAACCCACTAAGGTTTCATCCTAGCAGCAAATCATTTAACTCTTACAACATCAAATTCTCTCTCTTTTTCAATACATTTAACTTCACTTTTATGGTTCTGGATAGTCTTATTTCATACACAGTGTCTGCTTCAAAGCTCTCCTAGACCATTAAGTTCGTTGCTTATTAATCTGTTATTTCCTAATCCTGTCATTCTAAGAAGGAAACAGATCCTGAATGTGCCAAAACCTTTTAGAACCAAAAGATACACTGCTTAGGAGAAGATTTGATCTCCTCTCCTGGAGGGGCAGTGCTGGTCATCTTCTCAGCACTAGGGAACTGGGTCAGTAGCTTCAGGTTGAAGTCTTCCCTTCGTTCATACTCCTTGCCACGGTAGATAAAAATTTTGTTCTGTGGGTAGCAGAAGAAAAGGAGAATTAGCAATAAAAGCAAGGAGAAATACCTTTTCCAATGTACACACACTAGTCTCAGAGGTCTGGTTTACACGAAGGGTTGTCTCCTAGCCTGACAAACAGAACACGTGGGAGAAGCATCACAGGCTGGAGTGACAACACAGCAACTCGCAGCAGCAAGGCACTGCAACAGCATCCTCACAGCTGCCCAGAAAGTGATTATTTCACATACAAGTGTTACTGACATGCTCATGCTTCTAGCAATTTTGCTTTATCCCATTTGCTGTGAGCTGTTGTATACTTATCCAGCACGTGTACTGGATACACATGCTGTTGGTCAGCCACTGCCACAACAGGTCAGCAAGCACTGCTCATGTTATCACCCTGGGCTTGTTTAATTTAGCCATCAGTTTTCATCAGCTTGCTTGACTGATGGACACAGACTGCCCCACTGACAAGCCGACAGGGACATGTTCAGGGATGTCTGGGCACGTGAGATCATGTGTTTTGTGGTGTGCACGTTTTCCTCCATGCCTCAAGTCACGCTGCAGGTTTGTCATCAGACAGCAAGACAGCTTTGGGGTGTCCTAAACAAACAGCAAAGATGCAGCAATGGGTTTTAAAGGGTAGGACTTGGCAAAAGCATGAGTTTTACCCCAGCCCTCTTCAGCTACCCCTAACAAAATAAACAGCTACGACAGTTCTGCACTATAGACTTAAAAAGTAGACAACAGCTGATTTTTTCATGCTGGCCAACAAGCAGTGGTGGTTTCTGGAAGGACTGGATTCAAAAACATGACCTAGTGGAGAAAGCTCTTGATGCCATCCAGTTCCACAATTCTAAGTTGACATTTTTCCTTTTTATTAAACTTGGCTTTGATTTAAGGACAGCAGCTTCAAACAACTCCAGTCTGAAAATGTAAATGTTTCTTGATTTTAAATAATAGTTGGGAATATTTTCTACTATGCTGCACCCTGCCCATCTGACTCACTTTGGCTAGGTTCTCGTATTACAGCTAGCACAGATCCAGCAGTGCTTAGCAGCAATCTCAAACAGGAAGCATCTTTGCATTTTAATTCTTCTGTGTGGGACCAGACTTTCACTAATATGCTTTAGCATTGCAACGATCCATGCCCTGAAAATTAGGTTCAGACTGAAAAGAGATGGGATAAGTTCTTTACAATCTAAACATTTTCTAACAAATCATCATTACAACAACAATGTATTTTGCTTGGAAATCGTATTTCTGAAGAAGTTTATAGAGCACTAATACCAAAGGTATATTCTGTTTTAAGTCCATATGAAAACATAAATCATTTAACAAACTCACTTGTACCACACTAACTTTAACAGAGTTGGAAATACAAAAAAAAAAAATCACCTCTTACTCATCTTTTTTTCTATGCTGAGCTTTTTGCAATACTTAAGGGATTTATATGTCTCAGTAGCATTCAAATGAAAAAGGATCATCTGAATTTTCTTGGAGGCTCTGCGAGTTCAGGCTTTTTAGGGTACCCACCACTCCAGATCTTGAGTACTGAAGAATTCTTACCCGGAGGAAAGAGGGGAAACCCTGACCATAGTATCCAACTGCAAAGTACTCTGGTTGAGGTCTCATTGCCTTCATAATATTTTCATAAAAAGTAGCTCGTTTTTTCTGAAAAAGAAAAAATGTCACTAGCATTTTCACTTCTCAGTGCCCAAGGACACTGCCAGACTGCAGCTCACATTCCCAGTGACAATTCCTGATATATTACTTCTCCCCTGCAGAATACTTTCTATTATCTTTTTTTTTTTTTTTTTTTGGATACAGTATCTCTTATTTATCCATTTACTTGGTTAAATATTTGGTTTGTCTAGGCCAGAATCAACTTCATTTCCTCGTTTGCAGACATGTGAACAATGTCATGTTTTTTGGGATTCCAGGAGGATACTTGAAATCCTTAACTATTGCAACACAAATTAAAAGTAAACATATTCTGAAGCAAAGCAGACACAAATGGTGACAAATGTCAGAGAACTGGCAGAAATAAAACTGGGCAGATGATTCTCATATGAAAGAACATAAAGACCATCTGGTTACATCTTTTAGCCGTGAAAAAAAAGTCATTCAGAACCAAGCCCATTCTATAGTTCTGTGTTCACGCATGGTAATTTTACCACAGGAATAACAAGGTGATGAAATTTATGGAGCCTGGTAATATACTATGCAAATGTTAGCTTATTTGATTAGCACTAACAATGCTAAACATCTTCACACAATATTGTCGTACAGATTACAAGGTCAAAATTATACACTTTTAAAAATGAAGAAGTTATGGAAACATTCTTCTAGTATTAACCCTTAAAAAAACAAGGGGGTTATGGTAGTTTGTTTGCTTTTAAAATAAGTGTATTTTGGGCTTATCCTGCTCAAAAATATTAATTTAAGCAGTCAACAGCCTGCTGAAAATTGAGAAAACAAACTTACCAGGAGATTACCAAGTCCCTCATAATCAAAGACCTTGTTTTCATACATGTCAGCCAACTCTTTGCTTAGCTGAATGGCTTTTTCCCACATCTCCATGAAGGACGAAGCGAGGCAGGTGGGGGAAGAAGAGCACAAAACAAAAGACTCCGTTAAAAGCATTCATTACCACAGGTAGGTAACACAAAAACTCATCTGATTTCAATTCAGGCAGCACTTCAGGCAGTACTGCCAACTTCTTGTTAGACTCCGCGCTGTGTATTTCTTTGCAGAAATCACAGTGACACATTTTTTCATTTGTAGATCTGAGAGTGATTTACAATGCAAAGTTACTATTGTTACTCCTGATAGGGAAAACTGAGTCACGAAGAAGTGGAAGGACATGCCTATAAACAGCAAAACAGAGAAGCTCACGTGGTCTCTTTCTACACCAATAAGTCATCCCTTTTATCAGGCTTCCTTGGGTTTGTCTCATTTAGCCTTCTTAGAATCATCTATCCCAAGTGCAATTGACACAAGTTCTGTATCAGCCAGACAAGCCCTATTTATTGCCATGCAAAAAGAACTAACAAAACCCATTAACCAGGAAAAGAACAAAACAAATACTGCAGATTCTCACCCAGCTAGTATCTTGAGCAGAGTTATTTTTACAGAATCTCTATACAAGGAAATTGAAGGATTCAAACATCTCCAAGACAAATGGATGCCCTGCTCATACTAGTACTCCTGTCTTTGTTAAGAAGCCAAGCCTCAAGCATCAAGGCCTGTTATGGAACTACATCTCCTCTTCTCTTTAAAACCAACTTCTGCTAGCTACAGCCACCAGTTAAGTATTTACCAGTGAACAGTAAGAACACCACAGAGACACTCACTTTGCCCCTGTCGAAGAAGGAGATAATTTCTTGGTAGAGCTTTTCCTTGAGTTCCTGTTGCGAGTAGACGTAGTAGCTGTCCCTCTGAAGCAGATGAGGGACACATGGCTTCTCAGACCACTAGCATGGAGGAAAACAAGCAAAATTGAAAGAACTAGAACATCCACAGATAAAGAAATCCTTACAGTGGATAGACTAAACTTCTGCATAGATGAGGATTCACATTTCAGTTAGACTCTGATCACATTTAATTTAAAGGCCACACTCTGAGAATGAAAACTAAAACTGCCTTTAGTGTATTACCTGGAGCAGCTCTGCATGGAGGAGGAGAGTGTATGCTGCCTCTGTGAAGTTCTCACAGTCTGTGTGCAGGTCCCGGAGTTTATAGAGGTATCTAAATGAATTAAAAGTTGTTGTTATTTTATGTGACAGACTCCTCCATCAGTGTACACAACAGGAAGGGAAATAAAGGCTTCTACACACATCTATGGAAGGAGACAACCTACCTGATATAAATGTCCTCTCGTTTCTTCTCCTTATAAAAATTCTGCCAAAAGTAGAAAAAATAGTCAAACTGATGTAAGCCAGCATGGACTTGTATAATCAATGCTAGACAAGTAACTGAAATATCCGAGGCTGATCCTTAAAAGACATTTGCTATCATTTTGGCCACTCAGACGCACGTAGGCCTAAAACCATCCCTTTGATGTAAGATGGGGCTACCATCATCTCTAGAAGAGGGTTAAGGGAAAGACAGAAAGCAGCTTGTTCAAAGTTACAGCTACTCTTTGCAGTGGAACAGGGACTTAAGCCCACACTTCCCAAACTATCAGCTAGCCACCTTTCCAGTCTGTATTTCAGGACCTCAGGTTATTGTATAGGCAAGTATCAGCCACATGAATTGATTTTGGACTATACAACTTTATGTTTTATAGCTGTCAATAGCCAGTAACCTGATTTGGACCAATTAACCAGTAAGAGCATAAAGAATTACTTAAAATCCTTAAAAAAATAAAAATTAGTGGCCTCCTATTTGATGGTTTTCTTCCTGGATGGAGGTACATGAAGAAATTACTTTTCCAGTGAATCGTTTTGCATGGCAAAATAAGGCCTTCAAATTTATTCTGGGGCACCTGATCCACCCCAGGACCACATCGCAAAAGAGAGGTCAGAAAAGAAGCACCCACATCCACCTCCAGCCTGCCCCATACCAGCACGTTGACAGTGCAGCTCATGCGGTTCTCCTTGCTTTCATCATGCATGATTGTTCTGTAGTCCAGCAGGTTCTCTAGCAAGCTGCTGACCAGCAAAGCAAACACTTCTCCAGAAGCAGACAGATATTTATGCTTCCGACAGTGCTCCAGGAGGCTGTAGACAAAATCCAAAGAGGTATAAGGGAATACTCAGCCACAGCTTTGAGTGCTAGTAAGTAGGATTTCAGTGTAATTACCCACTCAGCTAAGAGAGTCAAATACATTCCCTGAACAAAGACTCTCAGTGCAGAACAGCACAGCACATCCACAGACCTCAGATATCCACATCAGACAGGCCAAAGCTTGCCTTGGCAATCAAAAGCCTCAGCTCTACTCCTGGTACTAAAACAAGGCTCTGATGGGTTTAGCTCTGATCCTGCTGTTCGCAAGCTTTTCCACTTAAAAGCCCCATGCCAGATCAGCGCATGTCTTTAAGCTTGTATCCCCAAGGTTAGGATAATTGTGCAAGTTGCTGCTCCAGTAAAAAAGCATTATTTTAAGGCAATCAGCCAGTCTGAGAGCTCCTTCATAGCATTAAATCACTGTCAGCTGCATTATTTCCCTACTCACTGGAGCAACAAATTAGGGTTTCTTTGCATCTCAAAAATAGCCAACTATGCTGTAAACAAAGAGCATCCATGTTCACTATAAAACTTACAGTTTCTCCAGCAAAATCTTGTACTGTTCGTCCCCTCGGCCACCCTCGACTTCCTGGTCCAGCTTGGTTATCAACTCATTTTCAAACTGAAAAGGCAAAAGACACGTCAAATACACAGCAGCTCTCACCAGCATGATCAGTAATGCTTGTGGATGGTATTTCTGAACTGCCACACCATCAGACACTGGTTTTACAAGCTAAGCTAGAGGATGCTTTCATTATTGACCAGAACAAAAGTGGTAAGGTGCCACGATGAGAAGGACGGAGCAAAGAAATATGTCTCGTCCTACAACACCTGGAAGGTGATGCTCTGGAGTAGTGCTTCTCCTTTTTAGGAGAAGCATTTTTTTTTCCCCCATCCATTACCAGTTCAGATTTGCTGGGATGAAGAAGCATCTTTAACAACCATCTTATGGATGGTAATGGTCATTCACTCACCTTACAGCAACTGAATTACTACCATCAGTTAAGGGCCAGTCTCAGCTCTCTGACCAGCGTAAATGGTTGTGACTGCTAATTAAAGCAACTTCTCATGTGACAAGAACCAAGTCCTCTGAGATTATTTGTTCAGCTATGAAGATACGCCCTGTTACGTGCAAGCAGGGCAAGTACATAGTTTTAGCTATAACTCAGTTACAAAGATATAAATATTCATGTTCCAAAATATGAGGGACACCGTAACTATGATATAAATATCACTGGCATGGAAAATCCATGCCACCCATCCAATTTCTTTCTAATGATTCCAAGAACCCCTGAGACCTTGGGGCCAACCACACCAAAGACTGATGACCCCACGGGAAGAAAGATCCCATATACACGCTGAAGGTGGGGTCCAAGCTAGTGTGAGGATGGAGCTTTGGGAAATACAAGTCACATTTGACAACAGTCTGAAATGCCAAGGTGGCTGCCTCTTGGATGGATGTCTCCTACTCATTCTCCAGGGAGAAGACTGTCTACAGCATAACTGAGCGTCCCCTGCCTGCCAGTTGAAATGTTAACGTCTGATATCCCCAGAGAAAAGCTGGAAGAAAAAGTCCTGAGAAACCACAGAGAAAAAGTTAACCTTAGAACAAAAGAAGACCCTCTTTTTCTTCTTCCTGTCTGGTGCTTTCTCAGTAGCAATAAAAGTTAAGTCAGAGGAATTAGCACAGGGTTGGAACTCAGAGATCCTGTTCTCTGCTCTGTCCTCTGATTTAAAATTGAGGGATTAGGCAGAACACCTATTAATAATTCAAGTGAGATGCTTGACTGTACAGCAATTTTCTTTACAGTAACTTACGTTACAATCAAAGATCTGCTTTGGGAGAATTTATGTTGTTATCATAAATGTAAACAGACACTATTCTGTTCAGTACCCTGTTACAGTCTCAAAAGTGCTTCACATCTTTTTTGTTCAAATTCTCCTTCTTGCCTAATGCACACTGCAACATTTGCACTGAACATACCAGGCTCCCTTACCATGTGGAAGTTTCTGTTCCCACTGAAGTTAAACTCGCACTGCATCATATCAAAGAAGATGGGAATGGTGGCTTTCCGTAGCTCAGGCTCTGGGACCAGGGTTACCTCCAGGATTGGGCCTACCATTGCTGGAATAAATTTTATTTTGTGGGGACCTGCAAGAAAATCAAAGTCAGATACATCCTAATGGAATATGGCTGTCTGAAGTTGCATGGTATGTGGATATTCAAATGTGCAAGCACATCAGTCAAATAAAATAAAAACCATAAGCTACAGACATTTTGATTAGAATGCATTTTTGATGTGGATAATGGCTACTTAACACCACTCCAAAATTCAGTAATAGTCCTAGAAATAGAACAGAACTGAACTGCATGAATGTTGCAAATCGAAGGCTCCCTGGAAAATTCTACTGTTGGCCTTCATATGGTAGAACTTCCTTTATGAGGAACCTCTAAGAGATCATCTCATTATCTGATGTGAGAAAAGATTAGCTTTTGAAGGTTATTTACCAAAAAAGGGAAAGAAACTTTGTACTCTTGAACAGCTCAGTATTTCCCCACATTAAACACGAACAGCTTATATAAACAAATAATTAGAAGTCCAGCTTAACAGCTTGAATAAAGATAATTCTTCAGCTGAAACTCACCCAAATTATACCACATATCCCTTATTTTGAAGCCAATTTCTTTCCTCATGTCCCCATACCTAGAAAGAAGTATTAGAAAGAAAAAGATGAAGGCGGCCTATTCGCCGATGTTACCTTTGCAAAGCTGAAGAAATTTAACAGCAAAACCACAAAAGCTGTTATCTTCCCATTAAAATAAACAAACAAACAACAACAAAAAAAAAAAACACAAGAAACCACCATACAAACCTAAATATGCTGGGTAATGATTCTAAGGGGTCTTACCAGCTGTATTCCCTACCAAGCATCTACCAAGAAGTTCCTCAATACCACACACTTTCCTGTTAAGGATAGCTAAAATGTTCAACGTATCTTTTTTCTTCATCATCCTGCCCAGCACTGATGCTCAATGCTCAGAGGAAGAAAAAAGCCATGTGCCATTCTGGCAGGAGACTGCAGATTCCCAAAGAGCAGATAAGAACTGCAGCCCTGCTGCTCAACACAGTTCTACCCCAAATTTTGTTTGTTGTATTTGATACTTTCCTCTAAAGCTTCAACTGCTGATATTAACAGAATGGAGGAATGTTTAATTACCAGGCCATTACCATTTATTGGTAAGGTTTAATTACAATAAAGCCCTTATTATTGCAGAAAAAGGGCAGCAAACATTAACTATGCATGCCCCCACAAAATTCTACATCAAAATTTACAAATGTCTTTAGGCACATGATAACAGCTAAATGCAGGAGTAAAAGCTGTTCAATCTCTCTGTGAATTTGGCCAAGTTCCTACAAATTACACATTCCCCAACCATTTACTACCATTTGTTGCACTTTATGCACAGGCGTTAAGCTCATTTTACTACTTCTGAGATGGTTAAGGACTCTGAAGTGCTCTGGGTTTCAAAATCAAAAAACTAAAGACTGGGGACTAAGAGGTTGCAGGGCTTTTAGGATCATTGCTTACCTAACTCATATAATGGCTGAGGAATCGCATAAAGTATTGCTCTGGCAACTATGGCAAACCTTCTGTTGCAGATCTTACAGTGGAAAAAAATCTTTTGGCAAGATGCTTAAGTTCAGCTCAGGACCTGTGTATCCAGACTTAGACATCTGTAGTTTCAAAGACCTGACTTGTGTGCTAGTCACCCCTCCTCCCTTTATCATCATTCATTAAGCAAGCTCTTCCATGGCATGTTTCGTCTCATTCTAAGACCATAGAGGGTACGTCTGCAAAAGTACAAATCAAGCTCCTTAAAAATAAAAAGGTCTGGCAATTTTTTAAACTCACTTCTTGATAATTTTGTTGCGTTTGGCTTGCGAGAAGGTCTCCAGCTGGAGGGATTCATGAGTGAGAAAGGCCACTGCCAAATGGAAATAGTTATTCCAGAGCTGTGGAAGAGAAACAAGTCCAAAATAGGAGAAGACAAAGGAAAAGCAACAACCTGCACAACAGAGTTCCCCACCCACAAGTGTTGTGTTCTCAACTAGTCACACTCAAGTCAACTTTGGCCAGCAGGCCCATTCAGCTTGACTTTGTAAAGACTGCAGCAGTTGCTTTGCTGTACTAACCACAGTCCTGGAATTCAGAGCTGCTTTGCATTTATCTGCTTTTCTACAACAACTCTACAGATATTTATCACTGGCATGCTCCATATCAACAAGTCTGGTAATGCGGGGATTTGCTTGCTCTTCAGGCCTTTCAGGAAACACCGAGCTCCAAAAGAAATAACAGAACTGTTACCTGGAGTTCAAAATTTGCTTGATCCAGAAAGAAACGGTTGAGTACAGAAGTAAATTGGTTCACTGCCCGGAGGAAAACCCTGAAAGAGGTAAAAACATCAAATAAAAGGTGGCTCCAGGAAGGAAAAAAAAAACACAAACAAACAAAAAACGAAACAAAAAAACAACACTGCAGTTCAGGGTTTATGATGTAAGCTCAGGAAACAAGAACAGATGCTCCCAAATGAGATTTGGGACAGTACAGGGACATTCAGGAAAAGTCATTCTCCTGTTTCTATGCAAAAGAAACCCTGACTGGAAGCAGATGATAAAAAAAAAATAAACAAACATATTTCAAGTCAATCTCTGTGAGCACGCAGTGTTGTTCCACATGGCAGCTCCTCCTAAATTTAGCCTATTCTTACCACCAAAACATTCAAATAACTTGCCACTTCCATGTCCTTCTCCATTAATGCACCCATATGACAACTCCACATCAGAGGACAGAAACGAACCTGGATAATTCTAGTTCACAGGCCAGCACGCTTTCATCCACTACACATTTATGTCTGTGAGTTGATTCCCCCAGATTTGAAACCAAAAGGGCTTCCCTGATATATCTTGCACCCTCCAACAGATAAATAAATAACAGGTTGGAAGAAAACATGGTTTTGGTTGTGTGCCTTTGGGCAGGAGAAGAAAGATTTTCAGTTGCATTAACAGAAATGGCCAGGCACCAGAATTTACCAAACTCTAACTGAAATTACACTGAATCTGTAAAAGAAAATAAGCTTATGTAACTCCAGTGATTTGCAAGCCTGCCAGGGCGAACCACCCTCCTTTCCGAGCCAAAAAGACTCCAAAGCAGTAACAAGACTTAAAATAGCAGCAACTATTTACCTGCTCTGCATCATATTCATAACCATCCAGTCAGCTGCATAGACATTTTTTCCAATCAGATCTTTAAACATTATGAATGTTTCCATCAGGAAATCCTGTCAGAAAAAAAATAAAAACCACAGGTTGAACAGCATAATCTTTTTATCCGCATGAAAATGTAAGAAATGCAAGTATTTGGAAGTATTTGCACTATTTGCAATTGCACTGATTAACTACTACATCGATTAGCAATCAATACAACGCACCTCCTAAGAAGGATGTCTTACTGCAGGAGCATATTCCAATAACTAAATTATCTCTGACATCTCATCCATTCAGTTTCAGAAGGAGAAATAACTCCACAGAACATGTTGATCTGTTTAATTAAATCTACCTTTACTGTTTCAAATTAAGCTACACTATAAGGAGTTCTGGTGCACAAGATGGATGAAGAACTAAAATCAATATTCAAGCACTTTCCAAATGCCTGAGTGACGACAGCATAACAGCCCTAGGCAGTACCTTCTACAAAGATGGAAATCTAAAACATATTTTTCACTTCCTCAACTATTTTAAGTCTTTTCTAGTTTAGATTAAGAAGTATTTTTACAAAGAGGCAGCAAACATGGCTTCAGACACATGGTTTAGAATATTATCATAGGAAAGAGACTTTCTGCACAAGTGCCCCAAGCAAAGCTAGCACACCTGAAGACTTTGGCAAGACAAGGTTGAATTGCAGGATAAAAAAGAAAAAGAAGAGACAAGTGAAAGAATGTATCAATAATATTGATCTCTCCATACTGTGGTCTCTACAGATATAAATGCTAACCTTTGAGTATTTAAATAGACTGTTCTCTGCAAAGACAGCACATTAGCATTCAGAAATGAGAGGGATACAAAGAAGGTCACATGAGAAATCACCATCTTACAAAGATCACCAGCAAAAAAAGATCTGTTAAGCTGAACAGCTTGCTCTAAAAAATTGGCAAGCAACACTAATGTGGAAAGAGAAATGGGCATTTGGTGCTGCCTCAGTAAAAATCCTTTAGGCATTATTAAATCAGAGCTTGACCGAAAAGTTTGGACTTGACAAGGGGCACCTTGAAGGTAAAAATTAACTTGTAATGGTGTTAAACCAACCAAGTAATGATGCTATGCCAGGCCTGAAAATACAAAAACTCATAAAAAACAATAAACAATAAAAATAGATAAAAATAATTATTGCAATAAAACAAAATGAAACTTTCTGTTGGTATTAGTAACTCCTACACCACCACAAACATGGGCTTGCTTCTGTTGATTAGGGGATAAGAACTTGATTATAAATTGGTATTTTGGATCAGTATCTCTTTAAATGATATTCATAGTTTTAATGATTTTACAAACTCACCCTCTTGACATGCCTCTGTGCAGAAGCTGTACACATTCACATATAGGAACATAAAAGAAATAATCTATTTGAGTCAGAAGACGCAGAACTAAAAGGGCAAAGCAAGATACACCTTCAACTTGTAAACTCCAGGCTGAAGCTCAGTTTGCATTACAATAAAGCTTTAAAGCCCCCGCTTAATCTCACCTTGACTGTAAGTAAGGATGGTCTCCTACCACCTCAACTGCTCTTCAGGAAAGAGAAACATTTCTGAACTGAGGCTCCCTCAACACAAAATTAGTTTCAATTCTGCCTTGAATGCACCTTTGTCTGAAATCCATCGGAGGTGTCTTCCTTGTACTCTTGTTCCTCAGACACAGGATTTCTACACAACCCTGCTGAAAACCTTTTTGCTCATTCATTTAATGAACACTAGCAATATACCTGAATCTACTCAAGTTTTACTTTCTAATGAGTCCTCCACCAAAAAATAAAACGTGTAATATAAAAAACAATTCTAAAACGAGATGCTGAATGATCTCTACAGACTATCCAACTGAGTGGCCCTTTAGATGCAGAAGTGACAGAAATGTGCGTGTCCTGTAGGTGGCTATGTTGCTCAACAGATTGTGAGTGATTCCAATTGCACAGGAAACCAGAGGGATGACCTTGCCATCCAAAATAAATTATAAACACTTTCTTGTGGGTTTTGATCTAGCTTGTACATGAAGAACACAACTCCAGGCTCTTCCTCAGCCAGTATTTAAATTAGCAAGCACTTCAAATTGCAAAACTAGGAGCACTAGGACAGAAAACTAGAACAGCTGCTGTGTCATGCTTCAGAGATGTCCATGAATACTGGGTTTGGTTCTGACTTTTTCTAGGACAGTTTGGGGACAAATCTGGACAGGACAGTTTGTTCTAAGTGCCTCAAAAAAAAAAAAAAAAAAAAAAGCCTAATGTTCCACTTGGTTTTACTTTGAAAGTCTTTGAGAACATGAATTGTACACAGTTTTTAACGTGGAGAGAACTATTTGTATTGCTGTCCACTAAAGCAAGCAAAGCATTTTGGATTGGATGGGAATTCAGTATTTGGGTTTTGGCTATTATCCCATAAGACTTCATTAATAGATGTCTTTCCTGTTTTAAGAAATTAATATAGATGTATGTTCAAGTTTGCTATCTTTTCTTTGCTTTAAATACATTTTAAAGCTTTCCAATCTCTTAATTGAAATGGGGATGAACCAGAAAGAAGGAGATAAAGAGAACACGACCACTAAGAGACACAGGGAAAGCATGGAGGAAGGGGAACACTTATCCATTTCATCTACATTCACTCTTTTGGTTCCAGACCTTTTACTTGCACAGACTTCATCAGTCATTAAACATTTTAACTCATGCTACAAATGCTAATCTCAGGCTCCACAGAGTCAGCAACATCCACTGTCCATACCCAGCAGGGGTGATGCAAATATATCCCCAGTGGCTGCGGCATTAGGTACGCATAAGTAATTGCTGATGAATGCAGTATAATCAGTCCAAACTGAATACAGTAACTTGAAATGACCTTTCAGAAGCAGAAAATAATTCTTTATGGACTGAGATAATCCCCCAGCCAGGCTGACTTACAATAATGTCCTGCCTGGTTTTGAAAGTATTGATGTAATGGTTGTAATGGAAATCATCCATCTGCCTCAGGATGGCTGTCATGCAGGCCACAAAAATACCCTAGAATATGAAAAACAAGACATACTGTTATTTTTCTGTATTAAGCAACATAAGCTCAAAGTGTGACATGTGCCTTCAGGTTCCATCTAATCAAGTATTACCAATCACAATCCTGCTGATCTATGTCCTGACATCGTTCTGTGTGACTGTTTTCTCCTCTACCCCAAACCAGTTAAGACTTCCTAAATGTCAAGTCTGAGGTCTGGGTCTATCTGTTTCCCCAGAGATCAGTTTGCAAGAAAAACATACCCTCCAAAGAGCAGAATAAAAGAATATATGAATGTATGTAATTTTATACATATATAAATATGATATATATGGAAATATATGAGCCACTACATTTTTAGATTTAACATGTACAACTATATAGTTCTCATGTGTGACATATTGGTAATAGCAACGACTAGATTTTAGAGCTATTAAAAATAACTGCTATCCATGCTCAGCCCCTTATTTTTCCATCTTTGTCTACACTAAGTACAGTGCAAATTAGAATATATAAATTTTCATACACTTTCTAAGATGCCACAGAGTAGTCAGCATTGACAATCAGAGCTGTCTGGTCCTTCAGCATTTAATCCTTTTCAGTGAAGGTGGCAAAAGAACATTTTCTTCTCAGCAGAGATTCTTTGTGTATTAGAAATGAGCTGAAACCAAATTCTCTGTGCACAGGGGCCCAAAGGAACTTGAAATCACAGCCACCTGTGACTCGGTTAAAATTGCTGTTAGAATAGAGCAATTTGTATCCTAATACCAGCTCCCAGAAAGCCACCCAAAGCCATGTTGTAGTGGCACAGAAGTGCTGCAGGAAGTGGAAAGATGATTTCATAAACCACTCTACACACTGAAATCTCCCAGGAGAATTGCACTCTAACAAAGGGTAAGGTAGTAAAGGAAGCAAGTAAACGGCTCTCACAATGTGTGGAGACTGCCTGCTCATTCCAATCACTGTGCGGTTTATTCTCCGTAGCAGGCGTTCCATGATCAGCTGGATGTGGACAGCAGTAGGTCCCTGGGGGATTTAATAAAGAAAATTTGAGACAATTCTTGATGCATTCTGTTCTATAGAGAGCTCCTTGAGTGGGAGGACTGCCCTGACAGTGCTTAAGTGTTATCTGAAGATGCAAAAAGACGACTTACTACACAACAGCAGTTGATTCAACTACTGCAGGTAGATACCTGGTGAAGAGGTGGCAAAATTCATTTGTACCAGTTTCACTTGTTCATGCTGGCATAACTAAACTGAACCAGGCAATGTGATTTGCTATTTGTTCCCTGAACAATTCTTCAGTTCAAATCATTCTTTCCAAGGCACCTTGGAATCAATTTTCATGATTAATGTGGGAAATAACTGTACTCCCCTAACTGAATAATGACTGTGGGCCTTACTTCAACCAGAAACCCAATAGTTAGATGGCTTGCTCCAAATAATTCAACAAGTCACCAGAGTAGCTGGGAATAACATTTTGGTTCCTAGAAGGGAAAGAAATTTTTCTTTGTACTACAGTGACAGCCACCAATTCAATCTTCGCATAGTCCCTTTTCATTCAAATGCAGCTACTTTATGTCCAAAGAGACTGAAAAAAAATACAGAGCAGTACAATGTAAGTCGAGAACAGTCCTTTGCCTTAACTTTAAAAAATAAAATAAAGTACTAATCTTAATTTGTGCCCTTGACAGTTCATGAACTCACCACATCTTTCCGATCCAGAACTTCCAGAACGCTGCTGAGGAGCTGTGAGGAGGCCTCATGGTCAGGCTTGTTTGAATTGTCATCCAGCTGGCCACTTAGCTGGTCTATCAGTAGAGGCAGGAGAGCATCTCTGCATTCTGAAAATGAAACAGCACCATATCTTGCTCTCAAAGTCCTTCAGCATTCAGTATATAGGTACCACACTGTAGCTTTCTGCTCTTAACTTAATCTTGGACACAAAAACATATACCTAAATCCACTTGAGTTACCACTGAGACTAAGAGAGACAAATAACCTGTAATGATATGCATTACACCAAGCAGATCATTCTCCTCTTGTCCCTTTCTAGATTAACATACTCAATCAGGATCCTACTTTTGTAACAACAACAAAGTTTCAGATGTTCATTTTAAGAGCCACTATGGCAAGGAATATTTCTAAAGATAGATTTAGTTGTAAACTACCACTGATGGATGATTTAAGTGACACATAAACTTGAAAGACATTTTTGTTGGTAAAGGTACATGGCTCCATGGAGAAACCAGAGGTTTCAATGCACTACTTACCAAGCTGTTTAAACAGATCACTCTCGACTATCTTGGTCATGCAGTTTAGCTTCTGTCGAACTAACTGGTTGTCAGGAATACTTTGGATAAACTTGCTGAAGAGGACACTAGTGTGCAAACCACAAAGTAAGCAGATGGTCAGCATTTTCACCCAATGTGATTCCACCTACCCTTACACTGTCCTGCACCTGGGCAAGTCAAGCAGTTGTCACTGTGTTGACATGTCACCTGCAGCAGTCTCCAGGTAAATTACTACTGAGCTTTAACTTCACTCATTTTCTAGAAAGGTAGCACAGGGCTCTCAGTCAAACTGAACGGGGTTAAGCCTCTCGATAAGAAGCTTGCATTCCAAGATACAATAGATATATGCCACAAAAGCTTATAAATAGAAATACCACATGCCCTTCATTGCCAGCATAAAATAATCATACAAAATGAAAGCACAATTTTGCACTGCTGAAGCCTGAGACACTGTTATATACAACAGCAAGAGCATATTCTTCCAGATGCCCCTTTCATCAACAGTGATGACTCATTTTAATCTTAGACTCCATTAAATTAAATCCCATGTACATTTGCTGTCTGTCTACTGTTTACGAGCAAATTATTAGTGTCAGAACAAGGAGGCATGAAAGGGAGGTTCTGGATAAAGCTATGAATATTGAAGAACAGAAATCCACAGTGTTGTGAATTTCTTGAATAAATATAACTTTTGTTTTCTGTTTCGTCACATACTCCATTCTACCTCAGAAGTATTCGTTAAAACTTGGTGGGAACTTGCATGGCATTTCTTCACATGGTTCTCCAGTCCTCAAATTTTGGTTTCAAACAAAAGTTCCTAAGAAAGAACAGTTGAACTGCGTAGACTCCTTTGAACTAAACTGACTTCCTCTAAAGCCCTGCAAGGAGCTTCCTAAAAAATCATGCAGTATGTGCATTATCACATCATAGTCACAGCTGCTGTTTTTAGGAACATTTCCCAAATTTTCCCAATAGATGAATTGCGTTTGGAGGACACACAAACTTAATAATGGTTACCTGAGCTCAACAGGGTCAAATACTAGTTTGACATCATTTATGATGCTTGGCAAATACTTTAAAGCTGCACCCTGCAAGAAAAAAAAAAAAATAAAGACAAAGCACACGTGGAGACTGAGTTAGATTAAGTTAGATTAGCTCATTCATTCTGAAAGCCAGTTCATTCACAACCTCAACAATGCCCATGGTTCACATGGCAAATCTAGTTTTGGCAAGAGCAAATATATGGACACCTGCAGAGAACTGGCTTAAGATCAAATTAATGCACCCAAAGAGCCTCCAGCAACCACACATCTGCAGTGCAGAGCAGAAAAGGTAAAGGAGGAAGGATCTGTAGCCAAGTTGTACAGTTTTTGCAAACATCCTGCAGCTTCAGGGATTAAGCTCCTCATAGCCTGACATGAAAAGCCCTACATAAATAGACTCAGTGTTCTCTTTACTTCAGCATGTCCACATAGACAGGAATACATTATCTAGGTCCCAGTATGGCATTTATAGGTGTAGCATCCAGGCACCTGGGCGCAACTGCAACTAAAGGTCTCTCGGTGAAGTTCCATGGCTGCTGCCAGCTGTAACTCTGGTTACACAAGAATCAAAGTTGGGATTCAAATGACTCAAATGTTAATTACAAGTTTAGAATCAATCTTTCCTTTGAGCAGAGAAAGGCATGTTGGTTAGAAGGTCAGTGAAGAAAGAATCTAAAGACCTCACCACCTTCAGCAATTTAGCCAGACTCATCACATGGCTGCTCTGCTCCTTCTAAGAGCCCAAACGCAAGGTTCATAATCAGGTCGACACCAGAAAATCAAGCGAGTATAAGATCTAAGGTATGTTTAGGAACCGTATGCTTTTTCAGCACTTTCATTCCCGGTATATGTTGATTTTTGCAGTGATCTAGCATTTCCATCTCCATTACTCACAACCTCAGTGTTACTGGTTGAAGTGTCTTCCACACTGTACCATATTCTATCTTGGTTACTTGTTATTTATCATCCTAGCAGTTGCTGCAGGGTTTTCAGCAGCAAAGCCACAGTTTTTGAATGTACAGAAAGCTCTCATCTTTATCTGATAACCTTTGCAGTTTAGATATTCCTTTAGATATTTCTTTTCTTACATTTCATTCACTAAAACGGACATTCAGAGGATTCTGATGTGACTCATCTGAATGGGTTTATGCAGCTCAAAGCTTGTCCCTTCTTTTGCCTTCCCCCAGTTGTATCAGATGATCTCATAGAAGATAATACCTCTCCTTGCAAATCATGCATACCTTAATCTTGACAGCCTCCTCTAAAGGACGATCCATGAGGACGTTGAAGGAGAGGAACAGCTTGCGTATCGCATCATTAAATTCATCCCCTTCTTCACTTTTCCCATAAAATCTACAAAAAATGGAAAGAGCTAGTTATATACATAAATCTAGGCTAATAGTGTCACAGTGTTTGAAATATAATTATATCCTTTGGAAGAATCTCTCACATCAATCTCCTTCCACAAAAAAAAATGAGTGCAAAAATGGCACTGAGGATTCTGCAGTTACTACGGTAGTAATTTCCTGATTAAACTTGTTACAAGGGAAAAGCTGTATTTTTCTAACTGCCATTGCCTCACAATTTGTTTGGGTTCCAAGAATCAAGTAGCTCATTTCTGTCTTAAATAAAAAGACTTTCAACACAGCCTACAAATCCTATTGATGACAACCAAATCAGAAAAGAATCCAGTTTATTCTCTGTTAATTGTGCCACAATGAACACGAGAAAAGGATTCCAAACCTTCACTGTAAATTCTTCAAAATATATTTTAAGACTATGGTAAAACCACTGTCATTGACCATATCCTACACAATGTTTAGTCATCAATCACCTCACCTCCTAAGCAAAAATCAAGGAAAATGTGAAAAGCCACTGCATGCAATATGTGTACCTCTTTTTTTAAAAGGGAATCTGTGCAGGGCTTTCTCTGACACCACTAAATTATTTTTGCATATTATACGTAACACATCTTGAAGAGTCCTTCAAAATGCAGAAGCTTCTTAAAATGAGGAAGTCATTCCATGCTTCTTTTTTTTAAAAATTAAATAATAGGTTCTTTTCAAGTAGTACCATACGCTGCCTTTAGCATGGTATAGACAACTACAAGGAATACCCTCTTCGAATTATTTATTTCAATTTTTACTGAACTTATTTTTTTTGAGCTGTAGACAAAGTGTAGAAAGACACTCTTCTTTATGACTCGAGGTTTACAGCTCCTAAGGACATGCTGAAGAATATCCTCTCCAGTGGTATTAACTGGAAGCCCTGGCTTACAAAAGAGACGTAATAAAGATGGCAATGACAAAGCCTCACCTCAGGTACAATATTCGCGACTGAACGATGAACCGGAATAGGTACTTCAAGGCTTTCAGAGCAGCAAACAGCAATTCTGTTTTGCTGGAGTCATCAGCATTTCCCACGTAGCAGTTCAGTACTTTAGTGAGTTTCCTTTGGAAAAGCAAAAAGGGGAATAAGGACACAGTTAAGTATTTGTGTATGCCCAACATCCTTATTCCGCAGAGGAACTATAATTAACAATTACATAACGAACAGCAGTTCCTCTTCACAGCCTATTTTCTACTGAAGCTTTTGGCTCCTTGGGGTGCCAGATTTTTACAACCAGTTCGTGAATTTTCAGTAAACTAGCCTGAACTGTGGCTGCCAAGTTTTTCTAAAAATTCCAGCTTCTTGACTTGTTCCTTTTTCCCTACAAGGAAGGGTTCAGGAATCTGCAAAATCCATTACTACTTAAGTTGCTTAAATCTAAGCAAATGACAGCCTACTAGAGTGCAATCGGTGTGTTTAAGCACCGTAACAACATTCAGCCCTTCTCTGAAGCCTGTGGCCACCTCGACCTGCCTGGCTGCAGGCAGACAGTGGGGGCAAATGCCTTTCTTACCTCTGCCACCATCAACCACAAAGTCACTCACATCATTTCAGCTGTGCGGTTCTGCTTCTGCTCCCTATGACCCCATTCAAACATACCACTAAGTTTGCAGCAGAGAATACACAGAATATGTCAGTCTTCTGCTCAAAGTACTTTGGGGGGGATTGCAAGGACCAGAGCAGACAATGGCAAAACAAAGCAGTTCCATCAAGCAGCAATACCTGTTAGACCAGATTTCTGATGAATTTGTATTCCTTGATCAAATTTTCCCTCCCTACAACGACTTACAATATCTTCCATACACACTGACTGCATTAAACCTGGTTTTGATAGTAAAGCAGGCTGCAAAACACAAAGACCCTTTGAAAACACACACAAAATAATAAAAATAAAAATAGACAGAGGACTAGAGGTCAAAAAAGAGTCTGAATCACATGTCCTGATGCAATGTTTTCCATGATAGTAATGTCTTTCCCCTGCAGAAAAAATCTGATAATAGGAACTTTTTACAAGGTAAAAGGGCAATTACAGAGTTTCTTTCTCTCCTGAAAGCAGAGAATAGGGACAAACCCAGTCATCTGGTCTATGCTACTTTGATCACATTAGTGTCATTTACTGAAAGGATCTGAGAGATGCTGCCTGAGTGACAGCCTATGGGTCTGTGGTTACCAATACTTACACGTATGCCAGAGTTGCACTGAAGTGCTTGTAAATGTAAGTTTCAAGTACAGGGTTGAAATGCTGGAACTTGATGTCTCCGATTAAAGAAATAATAAATACCTGCCAAAAATTCAAAAGGAGACAGATGTACAGAGCTGCACCACCTTTAACTACCTGCATCACAACTTAGTCTCCAATCCCGACATTTATTTTGTTTGATCATAGTTTTTCTTTGTTTTTCAAATAACATTAATACTTCACTCCATGAAGCTGTCATGCTATAACACTGTCAGAATGTAGAAATAGGCACAGAGCTGCTGAAGGTTGTTTTTCAAAGCTAAGAAATGATTCTTTGCAGGCTGGAACTTCTCAGTCCTGCTACTACAATGGCATGTTAGAGCTAGGACATTCTGTACCCCTTTAGTCACTAGCCCCAACCAATGTCAGCTGCATATATCTGGCTTCACTTTTCTTCCTGAACTGTCAACTTGTTGATCAGCGCTGAGTACACAAGTTTGTTACTGCACACCAAGCCACTGCCTTTCACACTCACATGAAACAGCCTCTCCAAATATCCTGAAACTTCCTGTCAAGTCTTTTACTCATTTATTACAACCCTTCTATAAAGTTTCATAACAGAATTCATCCTTAATGCATTAAGCACTGGGTTAGGATTTAGGGTGCACAGCCTCTATTCCACACCACTGTGACTCCAAACAAGTCACTTCACTTTTAAGCTCTTTGGAGTGAGATGCCAATCATCCACCCAAGGGAGGAATCATGAATAGACTGAAAATGTGGCCAGAAAACAAACATACAAAATTTACCACAAAAAAAGTCACTCACCAGTGCATCAAACACAAGGAAGTCATAGGTTTCATTTTCTGACATTTCCATCATTATGTTGAAAAGTGCATCAAGGGTGTCTTGCAAAAACTAGAGGAACAAATAGTGAAAGGTTAAGAAAAGAGTATTACTTTTGTAACCTTGCACAGGAGTCTGTTCTTTTGGATCATTTTTCCCTTTCCAGCCTAGCTCAGTTGAACTGTAAAAGTTGTACACAAAAGAACACTGAAAAAGCAATCTTAGTCCTGTGTTCATTCACATGCTGTTCATGATGATCATGCTATTATTCCTACTAGGAGGAGAAAGGGGGATTTTTCTTATCAGCTTTGATTGTCCCCACTTTCTTTTCTGTTCTACTGCCTTTTTATCTAGCCTGTCATGCAAGAGCAAAGGTCCATGCTGCTGAATACAGCCTGCACTGGGCCAAATCCATGTAGCTGCACTTTGCACTGGGCCAAATCAACCCCAATTACAAAATGTACAGCGTATGGAGACTGGTGTGCAATGACACAGCACTTACTTTAGTTGCTCAGCAATTAAAACAGGTAAAGCCATGACCTTGCATAATCCCAAAAGATCCACACTAAGAACCACAGGAAACATCACCTCCTAACTCCCTCAGAAGGTCATTTTCTCTGCTGCTTCCCCACCTGTTCCCCACTCGGACTAGAGGGTCTTTGAGCCTTTTCTGCATTCTGTTCCTAGATCCACAGCAGGTCCCTATTCACAAAGGAGGAGCAGAGCCACTACTGGAAATTAACAGCTAGGCTACTGGAAATTAACAGCTAGGCTTTGCATGTATCTTCTCTTTTGCAACATCACATGGGAAAAGAAAGTCACCACCATCTCCTTGATTCTTTTAACATTTAACTTCCGTAATTCTGCTGAATTCCACTAATGAGAGCTCTTGGGAGAAAGAATACATTTTTGTTCTGCTGTTACTCGGCAGCTAGAAAAAACAGCTATCTAAGCACATAGAGAGAGCTTTTGGATGCAACGCAATATACCTTTGCATACCTTTACAATTTCTCCTCCTTCCACTTCCATGAGCTTCCTTAGGTTGTGGGCTATGTTCTGAGAATTGGAACGCCAGTTCAACAAACCCAGGAGGTCAACTAGCAAGGGCAAAACATCAGCAATTAGAAACAGATTACAACAACACAGCTGACTTACTGGCTGCAGAACAATACAGAAAAAGTACCAGAGGTTATTTTTAGAATCAGCTTACAAGGAAAACTCACACTGACGTTCAGAACATTACCTTGAGGTGGCTCTTCTGTCTTGGCAAGAGAGTTCGTTTTGCTATTAATGGAAAACCTTGGTGTAATTCAATAACATTTGGCAAACAAATTTGCAGGCTTCTCATTCACTCAAGAGAAGATCCATCAAGCTAGGACATTTATTAGAGCGTGTGACTTTTCTTGCTAATGCTCTGTGTTTGCTCTAGAGCAACAACTAGACAATGAAATTCAGATTCGGCCCTCTTGCACACGGATGGATCAGTATGGCATTTAGCTTAAGCAAACTGGCGTGGCTCATGAGAACAGCTCATGCCCACCTCCCAGCAGCTGCTCGTGTACACCTCGATGGAGTCACAGCTGGTGTCTTTTCACATCTCCTTCCCGAAGTCAGCGAGTATATTACACCAAGAGCCTTCCCTAACTGTACTAGCTTCCTTAACTCATTTAAATCTCACAACATGTACCAGCACGTACTGTATTGATTCACATATAAACAACTACCTTTATTTTGCCTACTTCGCATGCTGAAGAGACTAGTTTTAATGGCTACATTTTTGACAAGCAATAGAAAAAAGGTAATTAACCTTTAACAAAGGATTCTGAACCCACATTTACACCATCACTAACAGCTACCATTTCTATACATGCTGACAAACCCACTAGATTTAACTTGGTAATTTAGATAAAATATCCATGTGATATGATCACTAGGGACTGCAAAAACATCTCTGTAGTTTGTATGGGCAATACTTGATGCTGGGACTGAGCTGTCATTGATGTATGAAGCAGCAAGATTGAAAGTAAAACAGGATGCTCACATGTGCTGCAACACCAAAAAATCTGCAGAAATTACCTTCTTTATTTCAAATATAAAGCATGTATTAGTATCCCAGTGGTGTCAAGACCTACCATTCTGGGTGAGTTTGGTGGAGCAGATCAAAGTGGCAATCTGGAAGCTGTCTTTCGTGCTATCTTTAGTGGGTGTGAAGTTGGCTAGATGGTGCAGATTTTTCCCTGAAGGGGCCTCCTTCTCCTCCATCTCCATTTTTGTACAAGGAAGGGTTAAATAGCATTTAGCATCTTCCATTTTCTTGTTATCACCCTGTTGGTTGACCACAAGAATGAAATGGGTTATCTCACACGCTGAGAACACCTCATCTGACCTCTTTCTCATCTGCAGACACCGTACCACCACACACACCTCAACACAGTGACAGCCACAGGAGGCTTTAAGCATTTTTTCATGCCTACAGTTCACTTATATTGTTTGGGCTTCTAACTTTAAGGAACAGAAGCTGCCCATACACTGCCAATGAGCAAAGACCATTCTGAGTGACACAAACCACAGAATTTATGAGGTACACCCCCCACACACACTTTGTAGATTTCTATAGCAGTGCATTAGCTTTTTCCTTTTACTGGGATTAAAGGCACCAGGACCCTCTTCCTTTCACACACTGATCTTCTAAGGCAGGTGTTCGTGAGGTCTGTTTACTGCATGCTGTCTAACTGAATTATGTTAGAGGAAAAACACTATTTACAGATACATACTAAGATGCACCAGATTTGCAGTTAGAAAACTGAGCAGTGAAAGCAGAGCTGATGGTACCTTACAAAAAAAGGTTACTGTCCTATTACTCTGGAAGAGGTTATTAAAAATCTCTGCAATAATACAACAGTGTTTACACTGCTAAGAAAAAAAAAATATCAGCCAGCAGAGTTGTCTTGATTAGTTAAACAGAAGTTAAGGAGTGCAAATACCCAAGCTACCTTATAAACAATCAAGTTGTGTTTGCCATCCTGGAGTGTTGTTCCATCTGCATTCATCAACTTCACAAAGCCCATGCCAAATGCTCTCTCAGACTTATCCCTAGCTGTAAACAGAAAAAAAAAAATCTTTATTAGTAATTATCTTATTTATGTCCATACTGTCCATAGTGCAGCTGGGTAACTACAGCAGCTTCTTTATTTAATAACATCACATGAAAATGCAATGGCAGCAGCATACTTGGTGACCCACAGCAGAAAGAGCTCTCTTCCCTTCCCTTTAGCAGGTATCTGGAATTACCCAGAAAAAAAACTTCCTCTCTGAAGCTTCTCTCTCCACACAGTTTCAGTGGCTACTTGTCCTGCTGGTTGGACGTATATAATTGTACACAAAAATTTTGATTAGGATTTTGCAAATCTACCTGTAAGCTATGGACGTGAAAGTGTGTCGCTCCATCTTCCAAGTGCCTTAAGAGACTTTTTTCCTTAGTCTTTCAAGGGATCAGTCTAACATTATTGATCACTTTTCACAGGGTTATGAAGAAGTCTGAAGAAGTCTCCTGGCTCTAAACTTTCTCATTTACCTTTCATTTGCTTAATTAAGTTAACAGAAATCTTTCTATAAGAAGATCGTTAGAGTCCTACCAAATCTTGCACTGAATTTTGTGAAGGACTTAAAAGAAATTAAAAACAAACAAAAAAACAACATACATTGAGAAGCCAAGTACCAACAAGCATTGACAATTGTCTTCTAAGGAGGGTCATTGCTCCCTATCTCATACAAATTTTAGACCAAAACCAACCCCAAACCCTTTCCTAAGGCTGTGAAGTATCAGGTTTCTTTGTTTGTTTTGTTTTTGCTTCCAATAAAATCCACAGCACTGGAAATAAGTAGAAATGCAAGTGTTAAACCTTTAGTGGATACTCAAAGTCTCAACATGAGCAGCCGAAGTACAATACTTCCGTCAGTCTTTTCTGATACTCACATTCCTGTGACGACCGATGACGAAAAGTGAATCTTAAATGGCAACGACTGACTTCCTCTATTGCAATGGACACCTGCACATGATAATACAAATAAAAAAATGCAGCACCAGCATTCTGTCTCTCCAGAGAGATTATGATGCACCTACTAATGTTAAGCTAGTTCCTTTTCTACACAATAGAGCCAAGAGTAAATTGCACACACTTACCTTTACAGTTTCATACCAGCAAGGTTGTTTGACTTGATAATAAACAACAGACTTATATTCAGAGACACCTTCATAACCAGCACCAGGATGGATAGCTTTCTTTGGACAAAAAGACAAGGGGTATGGGGAAAAAAAAAAAAGAAAAGGTAAGGTCTAGAATGAAAGAAAGAAGTATCTTAGGTTGGAAATTTTCAAAGCACGTAGCTTGCAGAGTTGCTCAAAGTCTATGCTTCATGATCAAGGAAACCATGTCACCATTTTGGGTGGTGAAGCACTGGAACAGGTTGCCCAGAGAAGTTGTGGATGCCTCATCCCTGGAGGTGTTAAAGACCAGGTCAGATGAGGCCCTGTGCAACCTGGTCTAGTGGGTGGCATCCTTGCCTATGGCAGGGGTTTTGAACTAGATATGTTGAAGGTTCCTTCCAACCCAAGTCATTCTATGATTCTTTTTTCACTCACTTCTGTTATTAACGTTAAAAAAAAAAAAAGTGACTTCAAATTTAGTCACCTATAATATCTCTTGTTCATTATCATACAGTTTTTGCATACAGTTGAAGAATAAATAAGGTCCTGGCCAGCAGAGCTATCATCTATCAAACTGAGCAGCCTTGGTATATCTCACAACAGCCATCATACCTCTTGGAGATTGCCATCTTCATCATGTACTGACATGGTGACTTCTACATTCTTGGGAGTCTTCTTCTTGCCTTTGTCAAACTCTCCTTGTACCAGGGTGACGTAGATATCATTTCGAACATCACCTAAAATTCATGGCACTAAATTAGTTCTTTTAATTGCATGGACAATTGTAGAAGACGACATCCTAGGGTACCACAGCATCCTTTTCTTCTTCATAGCCTTTGCTGATACCAGTTAATTGATAGTATTCAACATCATATCACTGCAACTTCATTGCATCTTCACCTCGAGTAATACAAAAGTACCATGTCTTCATGTAACAATTTTTAATGCTGTGAGCTCTATCCATTTAGAACAGTGATGTCTAAATCCATTTTGAATGGATTAAATAAAGCAGGGTCAAAACTTTATGCAAAAAAAAAAAAATCATCTTTTTGTCTAAACAGATATTTTCCTCCAGAGTACGAATGCTCTCATTTTTCATTTGCTTCTCAAAGGAAGATTTTTCACAAAAAAATAAGAGATCAGCTTGAAATTTCATGAAAAGTGAAAAACAATTGTTTTTAAGCTAGTTTTATAATAAATCTGTTCATAGCAGAAATTCCAGAATTTCACGCCTCTTTTACCCCACAGAAGTATGGAGGCATATGGGACCTACCAGGCAGAATTATCTCAGGGAATCCCATTTTGCGAGCCACAGCAGTTGATCTGTCTACAAGGTGGGAAAAATCCTTCTGAACCTGTGCTAGATCGCCAGGAAGCAGTTTCAGGGAGACCCAAAGACCTAAGATAAGAAGGGTAATGTTTACCTTACTGAAAAAAAATAGTATGAAAACATGAAACTATGCTTCTTGTTCTTGAATATGAACATGAAACATCAAAACGCACTAGTAAGTAAAAGCCAGATACACAAGCAACTGCAGGAGAATCCAGAAGAAAGCATCTGGAATAAGCAATCAGCCATGTTCACTTCCAAATATTGTATGCACATATTAAAAAAAGTACTATGTTTGTAGCAAGTAAGTCATCAGCTAGAAAGATGATTTTTTTCACCTGAGTAAGAACAGCTCGTTTTTAATCATTTTTAACTCCCAGCGTGCTGGGATGGCAGTTATTACAAAGACCATAGGTTTGGCTCAGGGTAGGCAGCAACCTCCAGTAAGCATTGATCTCTGGACTTTCATAAGCCATTTACTTTCCTTTGTAAGCAAGGGGAACCTTTCCCCACACCAGGTTTTCCCATCAGCTTCTCGCCTGACTGCTGTACCTTGCCCTTTATGATTCACTTCCTTTGCAGCGATGACTTTGTTGAAGACAGAAGTGAGGGGCTCATTTTCTCCGATCACATGGGAAGTTATCAGTGGGGACATAATTAGCTGTCGCTGTCTGATATATGTTTCCATGGCAATCCTGCGAAGAACAACAACAGACTGGGAAGCAGACATGGAAGCAACATCAAGCATGTGCTCTGCAAGACAAGAGCTGGCCAACAGCTGACTAATTTCCAAATATATATATATTTTTAAATAAATGTTTTTCCTTCACCTGCCTAAACTCAATAGAAATACATCTAAACTCTCAAACAAGGAGCTATGTCGGTGCTAGCTCTGGCTTAGAATATGTAACATGGGCCTCCTAAAAGACTCCATGAACAGTTTTATCAGGCTGAAATAGCAGCCTTCAGGACAACGATAAACACAGGCAGCTCTCTTTTGTTCTTCCTTCCATCCACAGGCTGCCTTGCAGAATAAGTCTGGCTGAGTGTCACCATGCAGGAACAGCTCACCATGTCCCTACGCAGGGCCCTGTGCTCCCATCGGGTGAATTGAGCCCTGAATTCAGGTGTGCCTCTGAGTTGTCCCTAAGAGATTACATAGATTAGCTGGTCTTCAATTAATATGACTCTAAGGAGTCCTACAAAGTCAAAGTCCTTCGAGTCCTACAAAAACAACATATTGAACCTGTCCCTAATCACAAACACATCTAGTGAGCTTGGACCTAGAACGAGATTTCACTCCTGTTCCAACATCATCAATAATGAATCAAGTTATTTCCTCAGACTCCCCACCCCATTAGAGATGTCCAGATTTGGATCTAAACTCATTAGAAAAAAATCATTAGAAAATAGAGGAAAAAAGAAAAAAAAAGTAGGAGACTACCATTATTCTGCAAATGAAAAAACATCCTTCTTTGCAGCCTTTCAGGTCCTGAGAGGGTAGGGGAAAAATACACACACGCAAAAAAACATACAAAAATCTCCCCTGAAAATACCTTGCAGCACCATACGGCTACACCAAATGGACTGCTGTATTTAGGCCTGTAACAAGCTGATTCTTCCCAAAAAAGCTTAATTTTAATCAATTTAATGCGCTAAAAAAGTGAGCAATCAGAGAGCAGGCTGAACACACAAGTTCTAGCATTACAGAAACTCAAAAGACAGTGGGGCTTGAATTTCTTTCCCAGACAGAGGGAGAAATCCCTTTCTTATTCTTCTCTGACCCACCTTTACAAGGCAATCTGGAAAGTTACAGGCTGACAATACACTGGGTGCTGCACAGCAGTGACAATGAGGACTGTGTTCCCTGTGTGCTCAGGTGTTACTCAAAATCTTGCATCAGTCTCATAACAGTTTTTAAGGTCACATCCCCAAAACCCCACAATATTATTTTGCACTGTATTCTTTCTTACTTCAGATGATATGGGTATCTAGCTGCATTGCCAAGACTCCCTAAGTAATTTACCCTATCATACAGACATGTAAATCAAGGGGAACAAAAGTGTCAGAGGACTGACAAAAATCTTTTCCTTCAAAAAGCTGACTACTGCCATTAGCTAATCTATTTGTAGAGCCCTTGGTATGCTGCCAGGTTCCATACAAATTCGTCCTTCTCTGAAGGACAGCTTGGCTTAAATGAGCCAGATATGGGATGAACTTTGAAGTCCAGTACTTACTGCTGAAACGGAATAAAATGTTGCTTTTCCTCATCATCCACCTTTCCATGTATGATATCAGTTATGTCCATCACTGCAACAACACAAATTCAACACACAGTTCTGCCAAGTTGCTAAAGAGATTACAGAGAGCTTTCCCCTATCAGAACGGAAAAAAACAGTTGCTTAGTTTGGTCCAGTGCCACTAATGACAGCAATACAGAAGGCCACTCTCATCGTTAAAACTTTAGCAAGCATCTTTTCATTGATGCAGAAGTCAGCACATGGTAGTGAATGTGAATATTCGTGCTGATAAAAAACACATGTGGGACTCAGGTATTTCAAGGCAAAAAAATAGATCCAGGTTTCAAATCCTGATTATTGAAACTGTTTTTCCCACTAATCTCAAGCGAGTCTCTTCACAAGAGATCACACGAACTGAACGGGAACTGGATGTTTCATTCACCAAAGCTCCTTTAGGAAAAATCCACCTTTATCCTACTCGTTGTGAGGAGCAAATCCCTCTTTAGCAAAGATCTGAAAAAGTCTACTGCACTGAGAGCAGTGTGTTATCTCTTCAGATGGTGACAAACCAAAAAGTGAATGCTGACAGCGTGTCGTCTTCATTTACTACTTTAATTGAAAGATCTCAAAGGAGCACCATATACAGCTCAGTATCAGAACCTCCATTCTGAAGACAGAGATGCTGACACAAAGAGGTTAATAGGCTTTGCTGGTGTACAGCTTACGTTTTTTAGCTCACTGTCCCACCCACTGGACCATATTCTTTTGTCCTGTGACTGAATTTGTCGTACCTGCCACACCAAATGGTCTCCGAAGTCCACACGTATGTTTCTTCCCATCTTTTAGCTCCATATGTCCCACCCTCACAATCTGACACACCAAGCTGATTTTTGGTCTGATCAGGTCAGAACTGCTTAAATCCTAGAAATCATTTAAAATAAAGTTACATCAATCTGCTTTATGAATGGAGGAGAAACAGACAGAGGGTAAAAGACTTCTTAGGTTGTACATATGTTTAAAAGGAACTCTCCTCTTTTACAAACAGGAAAACCAGTTCCCTTCGAGTCCTACAAAAACAACATGCTAGTGTATCTGTAGTAATTTCCACACAGCAATTCCTAAATATCCTACTACTCTGTGAGTACCCCAGTAACAGTACTGGAAGGAGTGTTAACTGCCACAGCACTAGATCCAATCACAAGGCAGCTAGTTTGTGCCACTTTTGCTACTTGTCAGAAATGATTCCACTAACAACTTGTGGCAAATAAATTCTAATACAGAAGAGAATCAGCAGAGCAATGAGCTGAAAACCAAAACAATTCTAATCTCAAGCCTAGATTTTCATAACAGTTAGGCTTCGGAAGAGAAGCACCTAACAGGATTCAGCAGGACTCACTGACAGTGTCATTTCAAAGTAATAGACCTTTACTACTGCTTTGGACTGACACATCACAAAACACTTCTCAGAAGCGTTCCTCTGTGGCTGCCTCTAAGATATTAAGTGTCCATGAAAAACACCTCAAAATGCCCCATGTGGCTCCTCTCTGCCAGGGGTGGGAAGGAAAGGAAAGGAGGAGAAATGGAAAGAATCCAGAACTCATGTCTGCAGCATGGGGAAGAATTTCCAGGATGTAAATACAGTAACTTACAGTGAAAACTGCTTGAAGGTTATTTAGCTTCTCAATTTCTTTAGGCATCCCATTACTGCCCCAACGAACCAGGTAATTTTCACTACAAATAAAAGAAGCAAAAAAAAATAAAATAAAAAAAATGAAAACCTGACATTCCCATTATCTGGGAAAAAGCTCAAAAGTGTTTTGATCTTTTAGGAGTATCTGAAAAGCTCTGCCAAAATATTCTATGCCAACATGATTCTGAGGTGACTCATTTCACTGAAGCCAGGCATGGAGTGAAGGGGTACTCTCAGTTCCTGCCTCTTACAACTGTGACTGCATCTCCACACCCGATAACCTCAATGATGGAGACAGAGGGTGCCTGACACCTACATGTTTCCTTGATAAAGTTCTTCATATCTTCCCTGACCAGTACTAAACAAGCAGCTCTTCGGTGTGAAATTGCACTGACTTGACAGCAAATATCATGCCCATACATGACCAAAAGGTAAGCGATGAATCCATTGCCTCAAGTCTAGTGAAAACATTAGGAAAATTTAAGAACATAGACAATCTAGGATTTCACTAATGTAAAACAGAAACGCCCAGATTTATGAAGGGGAGTGCATGTGCTCAGAACCTTGACTTCTTATCAGAAGTCACATAACCCCCTTCTGCATCACCACTGAGGCAGCAACCAAAAAAACTACTCTGCTGGCTCTTCCTTTCTAACTTGCATTGACTTTTTTTACAAGCACTAAATTGCTTCTGTACATACAAATAGAAGCCTACCTGATGAATTTGGAGAGGTCAGGATCATAGAGGCTCATTAACAGCTCTGCATCTTCTCCAATATTGCAGACAAAATTCTTGAAGTTTACGTACAAGCTATACGTGTGGGTTGTGTTGAATATCGGCTGCCCTCGGAGGTCCAAATTCTGTTGCAGGGACTGCAAAGAAGGACAGTGCTCCCATTAAAAACTACATAAAAGAATTTAGTTCTGCTGTAAAAGTAGCACAATATCCTTGAGAGGAATGTACAAATGTAGTGGGTACTAGTTACTTAAGAGGGCAAAGCCAGCACCAAGAGATGTACCTTCTCTTCCTGGATTCTTTCATCAATCCTTTTGGATGCGGTTTCATGGGCCTTGAAGAGAGAGATCGTGCTGGTTTCATCTGGGTCCAAGATGTTCCCATTGTCATCTCGTACAACCAGATCCAAACCTAGGATTCTGAGCAGCATGCAAATCAGAGGACAGAAGTGACATAATATATAGGAAGCAGAGGTGACAAAGAGCACAAACCACTCACCAAGCTCTAGGCAGCCAATATTAATTGACTCCAGTAATCACACTGCTGGTTTTCCTAGAAATACTGTTGCCTCATTCCCCCCCTCCACCCGCAGTTCTCCCATTAAGGGAAAAATAATTAGGTAACTTTATGCTAAGATGACATCATCTCTGTTCTCACTTAAACGTATTTAAAATAAACAGGTAGCTATAACTATAAAGCTTATGGGTTATGGCTGATTATTACTCTTTGCCATAAGCTTTTTTCTTAATTGACTAATTTGACCTGAATCAAGTCTGACAGGTAGATAAATGAGTTCTGGAGACAATCTCTGTTCTTTATAAACCAATGAAAGGTGCAGTTTTGGTGGCCCACAAAATCACATTACTCAGTTGCTGATAAAGCAGTTTAGTTCATTAGCAGTGGCCAAATCCTGGCTCCAGATAGCCAAGCACAAATTGTGCTCCATGGGAAATGCCACCCTGTGCCAGCAGTTTTGCAGAATTAAGACAGGTAAGGCTTCCTGCCAAGTTAAAGAGAATGCTGGCATATGAAGAACCAACTGCTACGTGCCCACCTGCCAGGTTAGCCATGTTCTGATGGGAACTGAAGGCTGTAATTATCCCCTTTCCAAGAGAAAATGGAGAGCCTGATTCAGTGTTCTCCTCGTGTGGCTATTTTACACCATTTTGTATTAATAAACATCTGCATCCATTCTCATAACACAGTTCCAGAGCTTTCAGTGGGATATGGGATTCTCTCCTGCCCCTGGGACAGTGTTCGTAGTTTACCTGTTCCCGTAGTCAATTTTAGCAGTGACTTTCTTCTTGAGTTCAGCCAGTTCATCTTTGGGAAGAGTCCCAGACAGGATCTGCGACCTCCATTCTATCAGACTGTAAGTCATTTGCTGGACATGACGGAACTGTGTTGTCTTGTTATCCTACAGAAAACAAGGGACAATTTCAAGCCAGTGAAAGCCTGAAAACTATAAGCCCAGTAAGCTTCCTGAAAGGTACTCAACGGCATCTACCATACAAGTTGCATTTAACTAAAAATATCTGAGAAAAGAGGCACCATATGACAAGACAAGATTAGGCCATGGAGAAAATTCTCCAGCACTTTGCACTGCCAAGGTTTAAGTGTCTTAAGATTTAGGGTCTGCCACTCAGAATGTGTGATGTTGTGTGATGTTTTTATGCATGTCCTGTTTGTTTTGCTTGTTTAGGTGGTAAAACTCTTTAAAGCAAACACTTCATTTGCTTTTAAAAGTCTAAAGGTGATATCGAAACGTAACTACTTATGACACTGAAGACCCCATAAGCTTTTTCCTCACACCCATCCCTCCTGCAGCTGTTACCAGCCAAAGTAATTCTTCAACCTGTTTGGTACACATGAAAAAGAGCTCATCACCAAAATACAACGCTAACACGATGAAAAACTTGACTCGCTGAAATTCTGCCTCCACCACTGTTTACAGTGTTAGCAACTATGTTGTAAAACCAGAATGCTAAGGGAGCTGAGTCCATGGATGCATTTTCATGGCTGCCTGCTCCTTATCCTGTCCTGACAGGCACTCAAAATCCATTACAGTAAAAAAAAAAAAAAAAAAAGAAAGGAATGGTAACAAAATGCAGCAATATTTGGGATACACTTCCCTGCTCATAAGCATATAATATTTCAAGGTCCACACTCTACCTGATGGTAACTCACACCTGGATTGCCACGTCCATGCCTGACCTCCAGAGAGGAGTTCATGGAAATCAGAGCAGCTCTGTGGAAACGCAATCATCTCCCTGGCTGGTGCCTATCAGTAAATAAGGCTGAAGCTCGTCTGCTCTTCAGAGCACTCGTTTTTGTTTATATTTGCATAGACCTTAGCGCAACCCAGGCCTGACTCACTCCATGCTCTCAAGCAGTAAACCAGGCAAAATGGTAACAGAGGCTCCTGAAAGTTCATTTTATCAGTCCAACAGGAGCTGTTTAGAACCCACCACGCCAGTAATCGTCCAAACATGCAATTAAAAGATAACGTGGCTGAAGGAGGCTTCCCAGACACCATCTGCCTCATCTACCCCAGTCCTCGCTCCGCTCTGCTGCAGTCACTGCATATTCATCTTTTGCTATGGACTCAGCATCTGTAATTACAAGGCACAGACTGAGCAGGACATCAAAACCAGCTTTGTTAAAGAGCTTCCTCCTCCCGTTTCTACTGTTATCATCTCTAATTAAATATTTTTTATACTCTTAACTGGTTCCACCCTAATAAAATTAGTCATACCTGTACACCTCTTTCACAGAGCCCCAGATTCCAAGGCTGACACTGCAATTCAGAAGTGGATTAGCTATGCAGTAAGCCACCATACTTGCAGCAGTACATGCTTAGATAAGTAAGTAAGCCCTTAAAAATGTCAGCTGTAAGTCTGAAGAAGGAATTCAGGCCTCATTCCCTTTTTTCCTTTGCATGGTTAGCCAGTTACTACAACTGTCTTATGTTGAGTGTCAAGTGCAGTTCATTTCCAGAGGGAAAGTGCCATAGCTTTGATAAACTGGGACACAGTAGATGGCTATGCAGCTTCAAAATGATCTTTTTTTATTATTTTGACTACATCTCACCCAACAGCTAGTGGGAATTGGTCAACTACGTATTGCTGCTTCATCCAGTTGGCAGCTGACTGGTGTCACTTGGCTGTATCAGGGCTGTTAATGTTTAACCATGAGCCCCAACTGCTCCCACACGGCAGAACGAGAGGCTCACCTCAGTTATTGCCCCGTTCTGGGCCCTGCAAAGAACAGGAATGATAAAAACTACTCATGCTTGAGAATATCAATGTAAAGGGAACTATAAATAGCCATCTTCCTTCAGTTTGGACCCATGTCAAGGGGCTGGCGGAAACTAGACGAGCCTATAGTTGATACAAGGCAGATAGTGCTGACATTTTTAGTAAACAAAGGCAAAAATAAATGTACTCTTAACCTGCATTAAAAAGGGAAGAAAACTTGGGTTAGCTTTCAGGGAAATTTCAGAGCATATCTTAATTTGGCACGAGCTAACCCTGAGTTATCTCTGCACCTGTTTACATTAGCTAACTCCCATTAACCAGCCCAAGTTAAAAACCCCTGCTCATTTTTGTATTTATTTTGCAGTGGAGATATACCCAATGTCTGCTGGAAAGCACAGAAATTAAAGTGGAATGAAATGCTGCCAAATAAAGAAATCCTCTGTATTCCCTTTCTCTCAAATATCTCCTTCCTCCTTTGTTATTTTTTTTTCTTTTAATACATACTGCAGGGGGAAAATAAAATAAACTCAAATCCATTTCAAACCACAACATTTTCCAGGACTATTTTAAGAGTTATGTTGGTTAAGCACAGGAACATGAAAGACTTTTGCTCTTAAAAAAAAACAGATTCTGAGGCTATGATCTTAAAATTATTCAGCAAGGAAAAAAAAAGTCAGGAATAAAACTCTTTTCACACAGCAATAACGTCACATTCGGTTTCTCATTAAGTTAAGAGGGTGGAACAAATTTTTGTGGTTTCGTGGCTCACAAACAAAACGTATTTGTGGCCCCATGAAATTTTCAATAGCAAAACTTGCTCTGGATAAACTGAATTGTTAGAGCTAATTTAAAACAATTCTCTCATCTTAATTAAAGTCTCGGGGCACATACTACTCCGCAGGCTGAACACATTACTGACCAAAGAGAATCGCTTGGCTCTTCCTAACATGCATTAATAATCACCTTTAAAAGAAGGCAGTTCATTGTGAACTCCCGCTGTGCTTCTTTGAGCAAGAATTTCACCAACTTTAGCAAAACTACTGAATCTGTGCATTACCTTGAGCTGATTTTTCTGTAGTAACTTTGTCATTCTCTCTACTAAGAATGCCACATATTATGGGACCTTGGTAGGTCAAATGTCCTACCAGCACCCACAGCCCTAGCTCTTTTCCTCTCCTTTGCCTACCTGACCTGTACGTGCACTCAGGGGTGAGGCTCAGGCATTCCATTAAATATCTACACGATGTCCAGAAACACAGGGTTCACCCTTGCTAAGCGTTTTGTTAAAGCTTTATGGTTTCTCGCACAACTTCACTGAGATCTCCTGCACAGGAGGGATGCAAAGCAGGAAGCCTCACCGTACAGCAAACTGTGAGTCACACTCACAACCCCGACCAGCTGACACGATGCTGAGTGTGACTTGTGGCAGCTGATGCTGAGAGTCAAGTCTTCAGCAGTGCTCTATCATCACAAATTATTCAAGTACAGCGAACACTTTGTGGCACGGGCTAAACTGCCACTCTGTCTGTGCTTGCACATTTGTTTAGAGGAGAGCTGAACTTTTTTAGCCCCTTGTAAGGTCAGTTTTACAAGAATAAGAGTTTTTCAATTCTGCATCAGGTTCTATTTAGAGATCTTAAAGTGCTCTGGAAAAGGCCCAGTCTTATCTCATCTGACATCATTTAATATTTTGTTCATTTTATTTGCCAGACAATTGAAACAAAACAAAACAAAAAATTACAGGACAGAGTACAACAAAGCATGAGACAGTTATCTTCTTCATAACTGAAGATAATTCTGCTTCTACATACGCTCGACTGCTGCCGAATCCCCCCGCCCCAACAACGTGGGGTTTGAAACACAGCAGCTCTAAGTCTCTTATCAGCATACCCGGACTCTGGAAACTCCCATTCTTAACAAGCCTTACTGCTTGCCATGTACACACGAATTTCTGGCTGCACAGAAGGAAGTAAGAGCCTTTGAAAGACTTCCACACTGTTTGCATTTCAACCTGAATGACGTAGCCCTTCTCTCACTTCTTTTGCTAAATACCAACCACTGAAGCAAGCTTACCACATAGAGCTTGTGCCAGATAACTGCCCATTCCCTCAGGGTGGAAGTCAGCTCTTGCCCAAGGGGCAGTTCACCTGGAATCACTGTTTCATGTTGTCTAAAGAAAAAAGGAGAAAATAGAAAAAGGGCATTATACTCAAGATCAAAACCCAGTAGTAAAATCTCCTTTTGTCATACATATGTAATTAGAAGTTAAGAGCAGCCTAGATTTTCACTCACAATACCATGATTTTTATGTTGTTCAATTGGTTCTCCAACCCATACATACACATTTTTATCCATTTTTAATGCAAAATTTAACATGCAAATATAATTTTAATGCAAAAATGTTTCAAGTTTTTTTCTGCCTTGTTCTTCTCAGTGGATCCATTCCAGAAACACAATGCTAAATGAACAAAAAATAAGTTTTGAATATTCATCCCCCTCCAAGGCTAACTCAGCTACAGTTATTCAATGAAAAAAAAAAAGTACTTTCTAAAGTCTCTTTCTATTGCAAGTCTTTCTGTTTTCTCCTCACACCATAATGATCACAGAATCCACTGCAAAAATCAAATGAGGAATCATTTTCTAAAATGTTTTCCAAGGCAGGAAGGAATCCACACTCCTGCTGGCTACTTGGCTGTGATCAGCAATGTGTTATGATTCACAGGATTCCCCAGAGGATCTCAACGTAACTTGACCGACCTGCCTTGCTACTAACTTGTCTAGCAGACCTTTCTTATTTTTACAAGTACTATTTCTCTTACATCTATGCCTACAACTGTTTTGGGATGTACAAAGGAGAAATTATGCAGCTCCAGAAGTCCAGCACAGGTGCACACACAGACCAGAAGCACTCACTACAATAATCACAAAGTTTTTTGTTTGTCTTTTAAATGAAACGGATTCCATCATTGGTTTTGCTACCAATGACACATCTCAAGAAGATCAAACCTACCCTCGGTCCTTCACAGTTGCCTCTTTTAAATGGATATATGTTTCTGGGAAAATGCCCTAAAATAAATAAACAGAATGAGTAAATAAATAAATCACACTAGAGCATATGACATGACAAAACTGCATTCAACCAAAAGCAGGAGAAGGAGGGTAGGAGCATGATCAGCAGCACAGTAGCTGTGACTGACATTACTGTTTACCCACAACAGAAGTGTGTTTGGTCAGCCAGTAAGTGTATCTCAGAAAAACAAAGTAAGGAGAGTCAGGTTGCATGTTTGAACACTATATTTGATGTTACTACATCTCAGAACTGAAATCCTTGCTTCACTGTAATGACACTCACCTTCCTATATGAAACAGTGTAAAATCTTGCAAACTATCAGTCATACACCCTTGCTACAAAACATTTCTGGAGTCATTTGTTAAGATGTTGTGGACCTACGGTTCTCTAGAAAAGCTCACAACACATGACAGCGTTTGTAGGAATTCACCAGTCCCGGCTATGTATTATTTAGGAGCAACAACCCTTCTAGGAATGCTGCAATCTTTTTCTATTTTCTTTTCATCCCCCTTTAGGCCTGAAAAATAGAGCTCGTGAAGGATGTTACCACATGAGAGGTGGCAGGATTCCTACGGGAAACCAGATTTCCATGGAGTTTTCAGACTGGTTTCACAAACCTCAGAAGGCCTGGCTGAGATCCATGCATGCATAATTTTTGGAATATTTTCCAAGTCAAATCAAAGCCCTAACCTCACCACTATATATAACTAATGTTGGATGCGTACAGGTCCAAGGCCCTAATAATAAGGCAATAAACTAGTGTATGCAGATATACAACAGGCAATTCCCCCAATTCAAATGGCATTACGCATGCCTGCATTGGAGAAGTACCCCATTAATGGTTCTGAAATGTTTAGCTCAAGGGCATTTATTTCTATCACTAAGGAAAAGGACATATTGATCAGGAGACCTGCATAGCATCAAGACAAGAGATACAGCGGGAGCATAGCCAAATTCCAGCACTGCATGGGGTCTGGCAAGGTGTGAAATAAAAATTAGTGAGAAGTGAGGTCATACCTTCTTAGATTTATTTCGGAGTGTGTATCCTCGGTACCAGCCTGTCAAAGAGAAACAGAAGTATTTTTTTTCCCCTCTACATGAAATTCAGTACACATTGTCATTCCCACCACAATTCTACAGCATAAATCTGTTGATCTCGTTCATTTGGGTTACACTGATAGGGCTGAATACCAAAATCAGGCTGTTCCGTGCTACATGGTAAGAGTGACAATCCTTGTTCCATAAAGCTCACAAATTATCTGCACAGCACAAGAATAACTGCTCAGATCATCTGACAGATAAGCACAGAGGCAAATACAGGCATGCACACACAACTACTGGCCCAAGATCATATAGTGTGTATATGGCAAAGGGAAGTACATTCAAGAATGCCAAGTCCAACTCCACTTCACCCCTTTTAAAGTCTTCTATGAAGTTCGTTTTCACCCAAATCATCACAAAGATTGTGCTTGAGCTTCACATTATTTAGGTTCTTTAGACTGAGTCATAGAAAAAGAAAGCCTTCCTTCAAAGGAAAACTGAAAGAGAATGTTCTGTTAGATAAAGGAAAAAGAAATCTGCTTGCCCTGGTACAGACATCGCTAGATCTCCTCAAGATAATATCAAGAAGCAAAGTATAAAATGCAAAGCCTGCACTGTGACCTCCCAGACTCAGAAGCACATGCCTCTTTCAGAGTACACAACTCTTCAGCACCTGGGGATAAACCAGTATTGTGATTTCAAAGTCACTGAAATGTGTGTGAAAGAACGGCTGTATTTCCTTCTCCTGCCCTCCAGCAAGCCCTGCTTAATGAGTAGACAGAAGAGAAGCATTGCTGTGAGAAAGTCGCTTGGCTCTTCTTCCGCTGCCTCCAAGCTGTAGGAGGCAAAGGGCTTTTTCCTTTCCACCCTCACTTTCGTCATTTGTCTCAGCTGTGTCAGAGCTGTGCGTGATCAAGGACTCTTGCCTCTGGGTGCCTGTTCCTTGCCCTCTCCAATGGTCTCCAATCACCTTCAGTCCTCTTGAAGTTAATGTTCTGGAAATAACAACACTAAACATTTCAGAAGGATCTGTTCCATTTGAAATGCTGATGTGCGGCCAGGAAGGTGCCTTGTGCTGCCCTGGGCTAGGATGCAGACCTGCACCGATTCAGCCCCTACAAACACTCTTCTAAAGGTCTCTGCAACCACAGGTCTTGGCCAACCACGCTCCCAGAGCACCACTTTTTGACTCCTCTCCTGAAGGTCCTATGAAAACAATGACCCTACCTCTCTGCAAACATGCAGGATATGTCATGGTCCACAGTGCATGGATGGTGTTCAGAGCTATCAAGCAGACAACATTACTGATCCAAGATGATTATGTTCTGACTGGCAGAGGGAGCATCAAGAAGGCAAAGGGATTGAAGACAATAATCAGGCAGAGAACAGAGGAAGGAAGGGCTTTATTTATTTATTTTTAATAACAACATTTCTATATTTCAGCCACGAAGGTTCCATGAAGAGCCATGGATCTGAGAGCTCTCACCCACAAATTACAGTTTATGAGGGTGTTGGTTTTTGTTTTATAAAAACACACATTTAGCCCCCTTCTCTAGCAATAATGTGTCAATCATAATCCCCAATATTCCAGCAGTAAATCAGGAGGAAAGAAGAAATTCCTTTCCTTCCACAGGATGAAGTTTATACATTGATCATGTACCAATGGGTAACGTACTGGATTAGGGATGAGAAGAATTAGATTCTATTTTTAGCTATGTGGTAATTAATTGAATGGTGTAGTATGAGTTGTTTAGGGTGTGACACAAAGCTGACAGAATTTAACACAAATCTTTGCCCAGTGATTTCAATTCCATTTTGACACAGTTCCTCAGCCCTCTTATATCAACGCTTCCCTGTCTGAAATGGCCTCCTGCCATTAACCATATTCCTGTAAAATATTTTATGATCACTGCATAAGAAGCATGTTGTGTATAATTCTGCAAAACTCTTTCAGCAAACATTTCATGCATTTTTGTCAGAATTCTGCTCCAATTTTCAGTAATCTTCTCCTTCATTTTAAAAAGAATGGAAGCATTTGGCAGTGGCCAACTGGCTGATTTCTTCTTTGAAGAAAAACACCTGCCTATAAGTTCAGAGGAGTGACTGACTATTTAAGAGTTTCTCTCAACTATTTTCTCTAAGCAGAGATGTGCTAAAAGGAGAAAAAACTTCTCAGTTGAAGACTGCATTGCAAATTTCAGCTACTACAACAGTCTCTTAAGCTGAAGTCTCACTAAAAAGCAAGGATAGCAGACTGACTCTTGCAACAAAACACCATAAAGACTTTTTATTGTTGTTTTAAAAGGAACACAGGTCCTTAATTTTACCTTTCATTAGATCTTTTTATGCAACATGTAAAAAAACACAAAAACCAAATGGAAAAAAACACAACAGGAAATATGAATAAAAGCATTCAAATTAAAGTAATTTAGACAGCTACAAGTTATACCCAGTGATGCAGTTACAGAGACTGCCCCAGCTCACGTGCTTAACCACAAGGCCTTTGATCCTTTCCCATGGTACTGTCCCATCTCTCAGGGCCACAACGTACACCACTGCACTGTACTGAAATAAAGCAAGGGATGGCCTCATTTACTTGCAGCAGTCAGAGGAATTATAAAGACTCAAACTAGGAACAAATTCAATGCAAACTTATTTGCATCGGGAGAAGAATCTGGTCTGAATCCCAGCGTGTGGGCACGCATTCTTTCTATCCACAATGTGGCCATTTCCCACAGCTTGCAAAAAATAATAACACGTATTGCAGATTAGAGATGATTCCCCTGAACAGAAACGTATCCTCCCCAGCTCACCACTCAAGGACAGGTCCCCAGAGACAGAACGTAAAGCCTGCACTGAAGAACTCTTCAAAATTCTGAAGGCAGCAAATTTCCTTTAGCTCTTGGATTTTGCAGCATATGCCCAATTTTGCCAAAATTTGGCAAACAACTGGATAAGTGGCATTTATCTTATTATCGAGTGGAAAAAGTCATTCTGTACAAAGACCTCATGCCCTTCAGCAATCAGACAGCCAACCACAGAAAGAAGGGAACAATTAGCTTGCTTTGCAGTTTACAAATATGAAGAGTATCAAGACCAAGACACCTAGGTACAAGTATTTTTGTTTTAAAGGAAGGTAAGTATAAGAAAATTAATATCCTCCACAACTTCATACGTAATAAATGTACTGTGCTGTTTCAAAGCCCACTTGAAGCCCAAGTAAGACACTACAAGAATCAGAGTTCTTAAGGTTAATTATATTTATAGGAAACAAGACAAGACCCACAGCAGTTACCATCTCATAGACATCTACACCTTTTCCTTCGGATTCACAAATGTCTGGCCCAAATTTTTGGCTTGTATTTCCAGGAAAACGTCTTAGCTGTGCTGTGGTAATTCCTAGGTCCTCAGTCACAAGCTAGGATGCACACCGACGGCTCAGTGTATGAAAACAACCAAAATGCATTAGCTTTCCCAAACAATTGACAAATCAGTCCTCTCGGGCTGAAGTTCCAAAGTGAGACATTTCAGGTAATAAAAGGAATGCCACTGGGGTATTCATTTTGTGTTCTTGGCTGTCACTCTGTTACAAACAGCTGACTGCTACCAGTGAGTAGGACTGAACAAAAAACTTGCTGTAAAAAAACATAAAATACTCCAACATTTTGGAATTTATGCAATGCATGCTCTTCATAAAGACAGTTTTTATCACAAAAGCAGCTCATTAATTAGTTGTATTACACACTAATCCCCCCCCTCAAAAAAAAAAAAAAAAAAAAAACACAACACTCCCTGCTATCGCACACATCAGTGTGAAAACACACATCAGCAACATAATCTGCTTTGACATGTAGGAACTAGCTGGCTGTTTCCAGTGTCAAGGCCAAAGAGGAATGGAAAGAGAACAATTGGCTAAGAACAAACTGCTAAACAAGCAGCGTGCCGTTCCCAGCAGAGATACTGAAGAGACTGTACACCGAGTCTCTTTCAAACTGATGCTGCTTATGAAAATGATTGCATTTATATTTTGGAAAGAGCATTTAGGCTTTGGAAGAGTGTAGACACAACCTTCCAACTGAATGAGGGATAGATAGGTACAATCTTTAAAATAATTACATAGCTGTGCTCCATTCCTGATATTGAAATCCTCATTAAACAGCCTAGTTTAATAAGGAGGTAGGAAACACAAGCACGTATCGTTTTCATCTTGGGTAAAGAAGTAATTTTGATGTTTTACATTAAGGTACGTGTTATGAAAATCTTTACTGGAAAGTATTAGGAGAGACAGCCTAAAAAGCACACAGAAGCTCCATCACTGGTATCTTTTAAAAGCATATAATGCCAGTTCTTGATATTACTGCTTAAACCAGCATTACTTTTAAACAATTAGAGCTGCCCCCTCCTTTTCTTTCAACCACAGCCTCCGTTGTCTCAGATCAAAGAACTAATTCAGGCTAAAAGCTTTTCTTTTTTTTTTTCCCTCCCATCTGGATCACGTTCATTACTTGGCCTGGCACGAGGTTAATGTGTGGTGTAAAAACAAGAATGAAAAGCCAGAAGTAAAAGTGTTTCTTTCTATAGCAGTGCTGCTTTGAGTTGTCAGTAAAATCTTACCTTGACAAACCTTTGCTAGGAACAGCATAGAAGTGACTGCTGCTTCACATATTTTTATACTCTTTAAAAAAAATCAGGTGCACGCAGCAAGCACGACATAGTAAGCTTTAGTCATGGAATACTTATCAGAAATTGAAAATCTCGATCTGAAGTTTACATTTAAAAAATCTTGCTTTGTTTTATTTACTTTCAAACTCTACTGCAAAGTACTTGGAAGTGATCTGCAACCTACCTTCATACATCTCCAAAATGTGAACCGTATCACCAACTTGCAAGGAGAGCTCCACATCTTGGACAGCATCGTAATTGTAGATTGCTAGGAAAGAGGGAGAGGGAAGGAGAGAGAGTTAAACAATCAAAAAAGCTGTGAGCTACTCAGAGTTTGAAATCTAGTAACATGTCACCTGCCAGAGGCAGAATATGATTTTGGAAAAATATGATAAAGTTACTTTTTCAGAGTGTCATTTGCAAGGTAGCTTAGTATGATGCATATCTATTTCCAGATTCCACCATCATCAGTTCCTGCAAGGATAAGTCACATTATTCTCAGCAGCCAAAGTTATTCTTTCACCTCTATGAACTCAGATCCATGACACCAGATGAAGAAGCTACAACTTCACACTTTACTGACAGCCTGCCCAGCAAAGGTCACTACTACCCCAGGCAGAGAATCAATTAGATAATTGCCTTTTTTATTAGTGCTTCACGGGGCTAACTACACCATAGCATTCACAAGAACACGCAAAACAGTATCAGTTGTCTGCCGTAAGAAAAATGCCACTATTCTGTACCAAGTGCCTCGGACTATTTGCTACTGAAGGCTCTTCCCAGCCACCAACCAAACTTAGCACGAAAACTTGAGATTCTCCGCAAATTTAATCCCTAAAGCTAATCTGAACGCTTATCGGATTTCCAGTTGGAATAGGATTAAGTCCAGAAGCCCACACTTGTAAACTGCCTGGTCTCTGCAACTTTCCTGGGGTGCAGAGCCCTCCTCAGAGCTGCCTGGCAAGATGAGAAAGCTCCCTTTGAATTTGCTTTCAAAACAATTCAAGTAAAAAGCTGCGTCAAGCAGCCAGGAAAATGCTTTGCTATGGTTCAATGAATTGATAAATCAAAATCAGAATAGAGCAATCCTTTACCGAAATGAGATGACCTTAGTTAGTTGGTTAGCACTGGTGTAAATAGGGATGATAAAATCCACATCTTAAATATAGCAGTGTGACCTTCTCATATAGAAATATCGTATTTACGTCTCTAAAAAGCATTTTCCCAAGAAAATGTATTAGTGAAGCAAGCACAATGTTTATATTTAACAAGGCAAATAAATCAGGCACGCTTTTTCAGAGGGCTTTGGGAAAATTCCTCAGCCTTCAGCGGGTTTGTATTTGAAGAACACTCTGAAAATTAAATATAAAAACTCCAGCTCCTGTGTCAGGAAATTCGCATCAAATGCCTATCGTTTCCGCAAGATGAGGTATATCGCCTCCTGGCAAGGATCCAGGGCAAACAAATGACTGTGGCTTACCACACCGGAAATTATCTCAAATATACTAACTTTCTTTAAAATATCGTAACTATAAATAATCCAGCAGAGGCTGGCAGGCTGTGTCAGTTCGCTGCAATATCTGCAGGAACCCCTGATCGCTAACAGGCACTTATTTTTTTAAGCTGCAGGGGCAGTGCATGTCCACTGTGGCCCTAATTCATGCCTGCTGTGACTTCCAGTGCCTGCAGAGACCCTCATGGGGTGTGTGTGCAATTATTGCACTGTTCTTAAGGTTACAGGGATGGTACCAGGCTTATATGGCACTGCTTCAGCATCCTATATATACCCTTCAATATCCAACCATAATGAACCATAATGTATTAAGCCAAGATACTCAAAACTGACTGGTGAGCTGGACAGTCGGCTCAGACACTGTGAACGCCCCTAGAGGGAAAAAATTCCATTGATATTTTTGCAGACAAACTTGTATAATGTTTATGGGAAGACAAACATGACCGCAGAAATCAGAGCGTTGTGCTGAGGAGCGCCGTGTATTGCCAGGCACCGGGAGCATTCATCTGGGAGAAGAACCAGTTAATGTTGGATTTGAGTCGGTTAAAAAGAAACCATTCTGCTGGATGCAGCAAATAATTCTGCCAGGATCTGTGGAGGTCAGCAGAAAAGTGCAGCGCCCGGCCCAAAGGAAAGCAAACTCCCCGCGGCCATGCCTCCTGCGGCAGTAAACCTGCCAAATCCCAAAGTTAAGCGGGGACATTGCGAGCCCCTGCTTGGATAGGGCAGCCCCAAATGTCCCCAGGTGGAGCAGGAAGGGGTTTGGATCAATAAAACCATCTGGGCTTCCTTTTGAGTGCCAGCACGGGGACACAGCACACAAGGTGTCGCTCCCTGGGTGAAGCCAGGCACCGAGCAGCGTGCAGACGGACACGACTAATCCCATCGCGCTGCCAGACTTAAGAGATTTAAACAGCAACATCTTAGCCTGTTCCCAGCTTGGCTGATGACATTGCGTCTTCCGAAGTTTCCTCCCGTGGTTGCAGGCTCCCTGCTTTATTTGCTGCCTTCAAATGATTGTTTCAGGGCTGGGCTTGACGCGAGGAATGGCTGCCTTGTGGGAACGCACTTGTGCTTATCCCTGTAGGGTTTCCTACACATTATTTCTAGCTGCCTGGGGTTTCTTTGGGACAAACAGACATTCTATAAGCACAAGCCTGTATTTTTCCATAAAATTGCTGCTTTAGCTTCGGACAAAAGCAGTTTGAGCAGCACCAAGCACCCAACAGAAAGGTGGGCGGGCATCAGACGAGCCTTTCTTCGGAGAGCACAGGCAGCTCATTCAAAAGCCAAGAGCACAACAGCCCCGAGAAGAGGGAGCACTGAACGCAGCTCCCTTCCCCTCCAAAAGCACAACAGCCCCAAGAGAAACAAGTTACTATACAACTCCCTTTTCTCCCTCCCTGCTTTATAGGGAAGATTTCTCATCCCAAAATGTAGCACTTACAAGCTGAAGGCACATGCTTCTGCCACCGTACATCAAAGGCAGGCGAGATTTGTTAATATCTTGCTTTGCTAGACTGAATGAAGCAAGAACAGAGGGCCACTGTACATAAAGTCTCCTACCCAACGGTTATGTGCAAGGTTATAAAAGACAAATTGCTGGCATATTTTCCCTGGGAGCTCTGCTGTTTGCAACCGATGCTTCCTGCTGCTCCAAGTCAGCCCCGTCTGAAACTGTCCGTCCGCAGTTATTTGAACTGTTTAGCCTCTTTTTCATCATGTGTATTTAATCTGACCTCCTTCCAACTTAAAAGGAAAAGGAAGCCACACATAACAAACAGCCACGGCACGAAAAAATAACAATCCTTCCTACGAAAACCTGACAGTGCTGCAAGGAGGGAAGAAGGAAAAAAAGAAAAAGAAAATAAAGACTTTTGTCGCAGAATTTGTAGGAATATATGAAGTTAAGTCTTTTCCCTTCAAGTTACACTTCCATTGAGATTTTGTTCTTTGAAATTCACTTCAGAACAGCCTTTCTGCTCCTTTTGTTGCCCTGAATGAAAAGCAGCACTGAAGTCTAACAGATTTATTCCGAACAAAGAGGCAGAGAAGAAAACCCCGATCCTTAAGAGATACTGGGTTTGTTTTAATGAACTTATTCTTCAAGCATAACTACAGGCGATGTGTCATATAATTTGATTTGCATGAAGGAGGCTCCCCAGTTTGTTTAGCAGCAAGTAGGTTTAGGAAGTATTTTCCTCAGCTGTGCATTCAGCCTGAGCACTTCACCAGCAGGGAAGGTCAGCAAAGTAAACGCTGGAGGTGGTTTGAAGAGGGCAACAGATAACTTTATGGCCGATGACAGCAGCCAGAGTTACGTAGGTGAAGATAAGAAGCAATTTTCATGCTCCAGGGCAGAAGGCGACTCCTCAAACAGATCCGGAGGAACTCCCCAGGCATTGCACAACTGGGTGAGCAAGGGGGATGTCAGGGGGTGCATGGCTCAGTCTGAAGCATCACCCAGCAGTCAGCACCACGAGCAATGTGTGGCAAAGGACACCTCCGGGGCAGCCTGGGCTTTCCAGGGTGCTGAGCAATAGCTAGCAGTGAGCTGGAGGCTTCTGAGAAGGCAGAGTTGGATGCAGGCTGGCACAGGGCAGGGTTCTGATGGGAAGAGCAGCTTTCATTGTCAATCTCCAGCTGGACGAAGGGACAGGATTAATCACAGCATGTTCCTGATTCACCAGAGGTCTGTCAGCAATAAAGTGAGCCTGACCTGGCTTTTAGTGAAACCAGTGGGAGTTTTGGCAAATATTTCAACGAAAGCAGTGTCAGGCTTACTCCTTCAGTTCCTATTGGCACCATTCATTTGGGAGGAAGGTGACAGTGCCACCAGCTTCAGTGCCACTTGTATCAGCTCTTCAGAGTGCAGCTGAGCACATACATCCCTGGAGAAGTGACCTCCTGCACTAATGCAGCACCTTTCACATAACAGCACTGACACACGACAGAAAGGTAGTGATTGTTCTCTCTTACGTGCAGGGAAATTGGAGGCAGAACTGAACGGCACATAGACTTCACCGGCAGCACACTCAGACGAAAACTAAATATTAATTCCTTGAGCCATTTTAGCCATAAGAGCATAATTCATTTTCAAGACAGCTTGAAAAGGGAAGCTTAGCTAAAACACCTGAAACTAAAATGAATGAGGCAGAAACTGTCACCTACCATTTTCTGTTTAATTCAAAGCAGAGTAACTTGCTTAAACGTATTTGAAAAGTGGATTACTAGCCTGGAAAACACAGCCACTGCCAGATCCGCTATTTCTTACTGGGCTCAAAATAACCACCCCTCCACCCATCCCAGAGACCCGATAACAGCTTCCAAATACCACGTCCCACTTCTCTGAAGCCTGCCCTCGCCACTATCTGATAGGAGAGGGCTGCGCCTTGCTTTCTCCGAACAAAGAATCACATTCAGTGCTGCAGCAACGACCAGACTTCGTCTCATTACATCTTTCAAGCGAGGAGTCAAAAACTTCTGTACGGAACCAGAAGTATGTGCCTTCATGCTGCAACAGCCCTGTGTTAAGAAATGGCATTTAGGCTGGACAGGCCCATTCGGAGAAGCCTGGTATGCCGTCTGCTGCCAAGACGTAACCAAAAAAACAGTGGCTTTATTTAAAAAACAAGGAACTGCCCAAGGAATTAATTCTTAATGGGAACAAAGGCTTTTTGATGTTTGAGCAAAAAACTGTCTTGTACTACCCAGGAATTTGTGTCTGAAAATTTGAAAATAGCATAATTAAGATT